AAATTTTTTGGTTAAATTCAGTAGCCGGCAGTTGCTTGACCCCGGGACTCTGAACTCAAATTGTGGTGCAGCCTCGGTTTGATTGTCTTCGGAGGCAGCCAGAGTGGGTTTTGTGGCAAGAAGCAGGAGGCTGGTGGCTGCAGGCTGCAGCCAGCAATAATCAACAACAAGAGCAAATAAAATAGAGTCATGTTGCGGCATCAGGCGGCAGCAATTGCAGAGTTTGTTCAATTTGTTGGCCAAACAAAATAGACATTAATTGAACCCGGAATCGATGGCCCACAACTAAATGAAGAGATTTTTTAGATCAGTTCAGTGGCCTCTCGTGAATTCCTGTACCAATCTATGGATCTCTGTTCTATGCTAGTCCTGGTCCTAGTCTGGGTGTTTCGTTACCCCTTTGGGTCACGTACGAAATGCAATAATTTGCAACACGCTCGACGGACCACTACAACATCGACAGAAACATCTTTGGTAGCATCTACAGCATCATCTTCTACATCTTCGAACGTAGCATCCACAGCATCATCATCATGGGCTGTATCTCCCCATCATGCATCGGCAACTTGCAACACAGAGGAGAGGCAACAATCAACACCTGTAACCCTTTTTTTCAGAGCCACTCAAAGGCATAATTTGAACTGGTTCTATTACACGTTCTATAATCCGTGACGATCGATTGCCCGGTGATATCCTTCTCCATGCAATTAAGTAATGTTCCACAGAGCAGACCTCAGGAGGCACACATCAGTGCGAGGAAATTCAAATTACATTTATTACGATCGTTCGGGTTTAATCTGCTTATTTAGTTCACTTATCGAAATCTGCACTCCACTCGACTGCGGCAGCCGGCCGGCGGCTGTGGGCCACGCAAATTTGTTAAAAAGATATTGGCATTTATGTTGTTATTAGGTTTTATTAATGGGTTGCGGTTTCCGCGGGCACCAATGCACCAACAGACTGCAGGTCTTTGATAAGCATTGACACCGCACATCGTACTCGTGGAATGGTTGCCGGGTCATTTTCACATGGCGCAATCCGAGGATCCCATTTCCAACTAAAAATACAAGCAAAGAGCTATTTGGGTGAGCATTGCGGCAGTGGGATACCCTGTACTTGGTATTGTTTTTGTGGCATATACAAACGAAGATGTTTATCACTAAGAAATTCATCAACAAAAATCAACCCAACTAAGACAAAATTTAAAAAGAGGCTATGTAATATGATTGCTTGTTCTTGGTGTAATCTTCCTTAGATTGTATTAAATCTAGGTGGATAATTCTACCAAATATTATTACTAATCTTTAAAAATGTGAATTCCAAATAAAAAAATTAAATATCTATTCATTCTTTACATAGCTTCCTTCGGTTTGTCACAAACATTTGCTCAAGAACTATATACCCTCACCTGGCTGGCATACCGCGCAGCATAAGCCTGAGCAGATTTCATTTGTGGTTGCAATCAGCCTCTGTGATGCCCTCGTGCTTGCTCTGAAATCCAATCTTCGCAGATACCTCTGTAAATGATCGTCGCGTGTCACGAGCACGCGTTCAGCTCTGATCAAAAGTTAGCTGTGCAGATCGCTGGGCAGATTTTCTGGGGTTCCTTCTCAGTTTTCAGCATTGAATTTTCAGAGTTTTCAGAGATTTCCCTTGGCCGCAGAGAGTGGTCTCACACAGCGCGCACAATTGACGCGTGTTGGTGATTGCCATTGGTCGTACCTTTCCATTTAATGGTGTCCATATGATTCACGGCACACAGAGGTGCACCACACTCCACGCTACACACTACACGCTCCACGCTCCCATCTGGACTCCACACTCCACTCCGATGGCTGGCACATCGAAGTCCAAGGCACAAGAAAACAAAAATTCGTTAAATACAATTGGATTTTTCTCGTTTTGGGTTCCAGTGACGATGTGGCTGGGGACGTTGATGATGTGCCTCTGCCACCACCTCCTTTGGGTCTCCAACTGCAACGCTGTGCAGGAATCGTGCAGTGGAGACTCTGGCACGGCACTCCCCCGCGGTGTGCCCCTCCTTCACCCTTTTTGCAAAAACAATTGCAATTTTCAACTAATGCTTATTGCTGGAAATCAGTTTAGGAAAAGCCAAAGGAGTCGGGAGTCGCGAATGGGAGTCGCAGTCTGTGTCTGTGTCTGGGCGAGGAGTATGTTGGAGTCGCTGCTGGAGTCGAAGTCCCAGTCACCTGGGCCTGAACTCTGAGCCGAACTCTCTGTTTGAGAGCAGAGCAGCACCAACTGAAAAGGTGAGTCCAGTCCCTGCCACAGTCGCCTCTTTGATGAAAACTGTAAATTTACGAACTTTACTTTAATCACCAAACATGAATCGCGCACAGCATGGAGCTGGCGAACTGAACCGAACCGAACCGTAACCGAGGCGAGCTTCATCCCATCCACATCCCATGCCGATTCTCTGTGATACCAATCCCCCATCCAGGGGACCCCCAACCTGATACCCTGCTCCACTCTCTCTCTCACTCTTCTTCATAATCATTCGCATCGTCTTGGTCTTCATCTTGGTCTTGTGGCAGCGTCTCTGCCTCTTGCCTCTTGCCTCTGTTGCTCTTGTGGCAGATGCGCTGCTGTTGCTCTTGAGGCTCTCTGGCGGAGTTTGTGGCTTGGTTTTGGGTGTCGAAACCTCTCGTCAGTGTGGATGTCTGTCTGTAAGTTATTTAACTTTTGTTGCCTTATGAAATTTAATAATTTATATTGTAGATTAATTGGGTTTAATTAAGTGGTAACGATGGGAAATTATAGAATTGTGGGACTGGGCTTTTGGATAGAAAGTGGAAGGCATGGCAATGGAGGGAGAAATTTAATAGTAAAATGTATAGATATTCCCCATACTTCATATGATGCTGGAAACCTTTCTACACTCACTTTTTGAATGCCCATCTTCGCTGAGAGCTCTTCCAATACCTTCTCCACCTTCCATGAGAATTCGCATTTGACTTTCCCCAAAAAAACGAGACCCACTCCATAAACAATGGTCCTCCCTCTTTACAGAACTTTATTGGTGGACAACTTTTAGCCGTTTGCATGTTTCGGTGTTTCAGAATTTTCAGCTGGTCTCTCTGAGTGAAAATATTTCTTAGCATTTCGACGCATGTTGCGAGTTTTGTTTGCTGTCGTTGTTACCATGTTTTGATTTGCAACACGCCGGGATCCTTTTGTCCTCCGGCAGTCAGCCAGACAGCAGTACGAGTAGGAGTTACAGCAGAGGAGTAGCAGACGATAACAGGGAGCAGGAAGGCGCTCATTGACTTTGCCCTCGAAGTTGTCACTGCTGCTGCTCCTGCTGCTGCTGCTGCTGCTTCCGATAGCCAGGCACTGGACTCTGGGAATGGGTATGGGAATGAGCATGGACCCAATGCGATTCCATGTCGCAGCATGTTGTCAGTGTTTATATGTTCGGCTGCGTTTTGTCCTCTCTTGTCCCAATACTTTTTGGGCATACTTCTGGTCATTTCTGGGCTTCGTTTTGGGCCTACTTCTGGTCATTCTTGCCTTCGTTTTGTTTTGCTTCTGATTCCTGTTTCCACTCTTCCTGTGTCCCGCGTCCCGCCTGCGATACTGGTTTTTGTTCTGGTCTTTTATGTCGTCAATTGGTCGAGTGCGTGCTTTGTTGCCATCTCTGAGTGTTTATGCCTTTGTTTTGACTTCAACTTCGAGTCGATGCTGTATCTGATAATTTATTGCCCGGCTTGTGCCAAAAAAAGAACAAGAAGAAGAGGGAATCCAAAAGGGAAGATCAGTCGTGTGCCCAAAGAGATGGTCGCCCTGGCCAAAGAGATATGCGGGGCAACGGCAACGGCAATGGCAACGGCAACACCTTCGCATCGAGCATCTGGTACTACTTTTGGGTAGCCTTTGATTTTGGTCACTTTTGTTCTTGTTGTTTGGATGTCTCTTCTGTTTATGGACTGCTCCGCCTCCTGCTCATGGGTGCCCTATGGTGCACAAATGAAAAATCCACTTCGACTCATTGTGTCGCCTGTCACCTGGAATTAGTAACTACAAGTATGTTAAAAGGTTCATTCATGTTGCGCTTGTTTTGACTTTTGTTTCGCGCCATCGTCTGCCTCCTACTCCTCCTCCTCCACCTCCTGCATCATGTCCTCTCAAGACATTTGTACATAGTACTCCAGGGTCTGTTCTGGGATTCGTTCTGGGGTTTGTTCTGGTATCAGTTTCATTTAGCAGCTTCACGGTGTCCTCTCTTGTCTGTAAATTGATAGCCAGCCAAAATAGTTGGCATACTCGTATTTGCCATGAACAATTTCTGGCCGACAACTGGAAAACTGAAACTGCAAATGCATTGCCAAAGTATTTGACTTTAAAGTGTAGAGGTTCTGCCACGGGGAATGGGAAGAGAAAGCCTTTAATTAGCAGTGAACCCATGATGGGGTGGAACCTTTTGATTGTCAAGATTCAACTGCCAGAAGATACAAAGATAATGGTGGCAAATAGATAATGATACTCTATTAATCCTATCTTCCATATATTATGTGCATAATAGTTAACTAGTTAGTTGAACACTTTAATTTATGTAGAGGTAATTTTTTTTATCTAAATTTCCAGAGTCATAGAAATTTATAAATTTTGTTAGCATTTAAAACATGTTCTGAGAGGTAAACTTCTTTACTCATCTAACTCTTCATAAGATCTTACGAATGAATCTTAGCAGCATATAATGTTGAATTAAGCATCTTTAAATCACTTCAAATACTCGTTCTTCTGTAGTTCAATTCAGGGATTAACATTAAGTGAAACATATGTATATTAAGTACTATACTAAGCCTCGATTCAATACAAAGAAAGTCTTTATTTAATACTTTACTCTAAGTTACAGATTTTCGATTCCTTTCGTTAAAAATTACACCATGACATTTGACATTTGGTTCGATGTCAGCTTTGGATCTAGTTCTCGAGTATCAAAGAACCCATCAAAGACAATGTTGCCGTATATCACAGACTTACTCGTCTGATGATGGGTCATTATACTTCTTCGATGAGTCCCTATCGCAGACAGCTAAATCCAGTTCCGTGCGCTTCTGGGAGTTGATCAGTGACTGAAGCTGATCGTTGATCGAGGCGAGGTTGGTGGGCGCCCACTTTTGGAGAACTTCTCTCAGGCTATTCAGGCTCCTCTTTTGGCTTTTGTTGAGGATGGACAATTGGTGTTGCAAGGATGTTAGCTGCATGTCTCTACGCTTGCTGTTCTTCCACACGATAGGGAGACTCTCCAGCTCAGCCAAAGACTTGATTTGGGAGATGCTAAGGCTGCCGGCTGTTAGATTCAGGTTCAGAACCTCGAATTTTATATTCTGCTGAATAATTTGCCTCAAACGATGTAGCTTCCGATCAAATCCCTTGGAGCTGCGGAGGATCTTGCTCTGAATATCCCTTATTTTAACAGAAACACGGTCGATACTTTTTTTGTTCTCATCCTGCAATTGGAGCATATAGGCGACATCATCGATTATGTGATTTGCATGCCCATCAATCTTGCGGATGGCTTTGACAAAGCCTCGATGGAGCTCAGCCTCCATGAAAGACATTTTTTTTGTGGCCTTGAGCAGGAGTGATTCGGCGTGGCGTATCAGAAGCACAGATTCCTTTTGCTTGTCAAGACTCAAAGTGATGTTCCTGTTAATGGCGAGGATATCGCTGAGCAATATCTTTGATAGGCTCAGGGTAGCGGGGTTATCAGCGAGAAGTGTCAAAACAGTTTTGCTGGGAACAGCTGCAGTGGTAAAAGTTGTGCTGGGAACAGCTGTAGGGGGAACAGTTGAGCTAGGAACAGCGCTGTTCTCACCGAATAGTTTAGCTTCTGCAGAGGAACTAGTCTCAGGATAAACATCCTCAAAGTCCACATCGAGTCCATCGTCTGAGGAGGAGAAGGTAACAGTGTAGTTCGAGGATGGGAATGGGGCTTGACTCCCTGCTTGATCCTGCGCCATCGATCCAGCCAGGAGACACAACAGAATAAAAACAAGTACTCGAACGATGGGTATATTCATTCCGATTTTAGTTCCGGCTTTGGTTGCTATTAAAATGGAACCGAAAGTTCAACTGTCTTCAAGTGGGCTTCACCCCTGCTTAAATACTGCACACCCTGCACACCCGTTTTCGCGTTCCGTTGTGCAGGTGTGTTATCTTTTAGTTTTTTTCCCATTCTTTCTTGTGGATTTTCTTTATCGGTTTTTGGCTGGGTGGGGGTTTGTGTGTCGCTGGGTCACAGTGCGGATGCAGCACGAGTTTGATGCTTGAAGAAGCTGCTGTCGATTCTGGTTGGGAAACAAAAATAACTCTCGTGCAGATTCCCCCATCCATAAGAAAGCTAACTATTAACCGCACAGCACCAGAGAGTCAACGCCAGCCAACATGAGGGTCACACTCAAAGTCAAATTTTAATGAAAAAGTGATTCATCATTTAGCCGACATCGCTCTGACAATTAATGGAAAACGGGGTAAGGGTAAGAGTGTACGCTGAGGGTAGGCCCCCGTTCAATAAGCGGGTCAAATTAGAATAAATAGTTACACAAACAAGCAGACCCCTTTGCACTCGCTCTCTCTGGGGGAAATATTGCAACAAATCAAAAAATTAAAAATAAATAAAAACGAATTGAATAATTTAGGTCACCAAAGTCTCTCTTTCTCTGTCTCTCGATCTCTGAATGAATGGGATCGAACATGAATGAGTCGCGCGTCAAGATGATGATGATGATGGTGGTTGAATGGGAATGGGTTCTACTCATACAGATGGTAGATATTTTTTGGATCCTAAATTAATTGCCGCATAATTCATGCATTGCATGTGAGCTTCAGTTGAAGGAAAAACTATTGAAATATATGAAAATATTTGGAAAATTAGGGTGCTCTCTCTCTCTGTTATGCTGGTTGACATTTTCAACCCATTTCAATACAGTGGCGTGGAGCAGTGCGGGAGTACAAAAAGTACTATTCTGCAGTGTGGATTGAGAGCGGGATTGCATGGCATGCAATTATGCATTCATCAAGATTATGACACGACATGCAACATGCCTCTTGTGTCTTTAGCAGCAAATAAATTTGTACTTTAGCTGCTGTTCCATAGAAGCTTTTCTTTGTGGCTTATATCTACAGCTACAGCTACACATAGAAACTCGTTGATGTTGTCTCTGGGATGTGTTTTGATAGAACAATTTTGCTCGGGACCAGGGGGAGCTCGAGGCGGCATGCACGCGATTTGGAAGCGGCGCGTAATTAATCGTCAAATGAGTTTAATTGTTTATGTCTGAGCGAAAGGTTCTCTGGCGGTTTTTCTTTTGAGATAGAGAACACAGCAGAAAACATCAAAAATTTGGCTCACAAGCACTTAGCCAAGAGCTTAACTAATGGCTTAAGTCGCGAGACAAAGTAGAGCGAAGGCTTATAGTTTTTTTTTTTTTTTTTCGATTTACAGATGTTGGGAATGTAATAGGAATTTTCTTAATGATTTATGGCATCCTAAAGTTACGTTTTCAAAGTCAAAATTAAATTAATTAAAACCTCATAGGTCTCTCCACTAGCAGCGGAAATTAAAAATTAGAAAACCAGCAAATAGAAAATTAGAAAAATATTAAATAGAAACAATCTTTTAGCCTTGGGGTGACCTAAGGCCCTTCTTCCTGCTTCCTGGGACATACGCCGGGGTTCAACATTCATCATCAGCCAAGTGCAACCGCCAGAGGAGGAGTGGCTGATGGCTGTGTGGCTCTGGTGGTTTCCTGCTGATTAAAACAAAAACAACAAAATTAACAAAAAATTTGCATTTTAATACAAAAAATGCGAACACGAACAAAAAATTATACTCCACCCTTAAATTCTGTTCTGGTTTTTTTTTTCGTGGAGAAAGGAGATTTCGTTCATCTTTCGTTTTCTTCACAGTAGGAGGGGAGGAGTATGAAACAAAGGAGGGCTAATAATTTTATCAGCGACAAACAGTTGACAAAATCAGCAGAATTTTCTTTTCTCGGCTCAGGTCCTGCATCCGCTTTGCTTGGGAAACTTAAATTAACTGTGAAAGCGACCACGCAGCGAAGACATTTGTCTTGTGTCCTAGAGGAGTTTTGCTTTGGAGGGGAGGATGCTATATGGCTGGGGGTCTGTGTCAGCGTCTGTCTTGGAGATTATTAATCATCTTTTGTGCGCATATTTTTTGGTATTTCGTATGCCTCATTGCAGTCCCTGCTCTCTGATGTCTCTTTTTGAACTTTATGGCTGAAATGCCCTCACCTTTCCACTTGCTTGTCCTTTTGCTAAAGGAAATCCTTTTCCAAGGAAATTATTTTTCATGGTATGCTTTGTAGTCGTAGACTTTATTTTTTGGGATGCTGTCTAATGAGTTTCTGTAGATAAAGAACTTAATAAATTTGCAACTTAATTAAGTTGCTCGCTTGTCAGAACGTGAGATAGATAGAGAGAGAGTCGTGCGTGTTTTGGAGGCTGGAAATCTTGAGATACTATCAGGTAGATATATAAGATTGATTCAGAGATGTTGCAGCTAATTAAGACATTTATTGTGGTGCTAAAAATGTCGGCTATCAGGCTTCTAAATCTTGTTTGTTATGGAAACACTAGGCTATTAGAGATACTATGTGAGCTACTTCCGTTTGTCAGACTGTCGTAACACATATAGTTTTAGCATTTAGTTACATACTCTGCACTAAAAGAGAATTAAGAGACGTTTGAATTCTAAACAAAATATTTTCTATATGTTTCAAATTGTTTTTGTTGAAAATATATCTCTAAAAATATCACATTGATCGCAATTATAATTATTTTTAAGAGTTCATCACTTCAAGGTCCGCTTTAACTGTAGCTTTAACCATAGCTCAATTTCTATTTATAGACATATATTTTTTCTTAACTTTTCATTTGCATTTCCACCCAAGTGAAACTTTTCTCTGGGAATTACTTTAAGTCAGTAAATTGATCAAAGACCCAACTCCAACCCCTCTACGCCACTCCATCTGTTTGGGCTTAAAGCGTTAATTCGTAATTTATGTGTCACACAAATCGAAATTGAATGCCAAGCGAAATTATGGAATATTTATCATTTCACACGAGTCCCAGCCGATCGCAGCCGATCGCAGCTCTCTGAAGCAAAAGGCCTGACCACCAAGAAAGACAAGGCTATGGTGGGGATCAGCGAGTAGCCTTTGGGGCCAAGAGCTGACCAAGATCTGGCCCAGACCACGGCCAAAGGAACGTTTGTCAATTCGAATTACGAATTACGACAAAGTGCGCTTAAGTTATGTGCGTGTTTCGTTTTGCGGGAAGGGGAAGAGGGGAAGAAAGAGGTCTGAGTCTGGGCCATAAAGTTGGACGCCCTTTTGGCCATATTCGAGTGTTGTGGCTGCTAACCGTAAACCACCATACAAAGAGGCAAATATTTATAACGTTTGCATACCCGACACATACACCCATACACACCACAAAGATTGGCAACGGAATGCTGCATGTTGAATGCCGAGGGCCTCTGGACCCGTCCTGGCAGCGGTGGCAAGTGTTAATTGGAATCAATTTGATAATCTCCACTCCCCGAATCCCGATATCTGGGTCTCAACTCCGTTGAGTTCATGATAATTTCGCGGATGTTCGTGCGATTTTGATTGAAAATTACGCTGTGGGGGGTTTCGCCTGTCCGTCCGTCCGTCCGTCTGTCTATCTGTCTGTGTGTTTCCCTTTAGCACAAAAGAACATAATTCAAATTGTATTAATTTAAATGCCAATTTATTGCCAAAAAACATATCTCTCTAGAGGATTGTGGCTCCTCTCTCTCTGTGTCGTGAGGATTGCGTGTTAAATGGAGCACAGCCAAGGGCCCTTGGAGGCAGGACGACTGTAACTGTAACTGGAAGCGACAGATTGTTCATAAATATTGCTTTTCATTTAAGGAATTTGTTATGAAATTTGTTCTCTTGATTAATTAATATTTCAAGGTGAGTTTGAAGGTGGATGAAACCCTCAAGATGGGAAGAATCCCTTGAAAAGTGGTTAAGAATGTGAATAAAATTGCATCCGAAGATTCGATTCAAAGATTGATTCATAATAGATACATTACTCCATACTTTATATATAGGGACGCAATGGCATCCATAAAGATACTCCCACATAATTTTAATTAAAACTGAAAAAAGTAACCAAATATCCTTCATCACTGCAGAAACTCCCAACCCCAATCCCATCCGCCCTCTGTCCTTAATTAAGCCAGAGGTAAGAGTCCACCCACCCACTGTCTGTCTGTTTTGCAAATCCCACCCAGATCGCTGGCCACAAGACCCTCCCACAAATAGCAACAAGGCTGACATGTGGCTGCCACCGATGCTGATTAACATATTATGCGACAAAGTGCCACTGGACACAGCAGTGGATGTGGTGTGTGTGTGTGTGTGTGTGTGTGTGGACACAGAACTGTGGCAATTCAACGCCTGTCACTGGCTGTTTGCACAGATAATTCACGCCAACGCTGAAACAGATTTCAGAGCCCAGATCCCCGACTCCCAGAGAGAGAACAGAGAGGAGAGGGTGACTCGAATCCAGATCAGAGAGCGAGACCACAGTTCCAGTTTGTTTCGGTTTTTTTTTTCTTTTTTTGTATGGTGTAATTGAAAAAGTTACCTCGACTTGTGCTGCCTGCCCGTGGGCTGTCTGTCTCTCAGAGTCAGAGTCTGGTGTATCTGGGATATATATCTGTGGCGATGGCTATCGATGTCAGGCGATAGGTGAGTGAGGCAGCAGCAGCAGCGGCGGCGGCAGCAACCACAAAATGTCGCCCGCCTTATGGGCCAATTAAGGGTTAAACATTTTGCATATGCATTCACCGTCTCCATCTCCATCTCTGATTTGCATAATTTCGGGCCAGTATCTGGCGTATATCTCTCCTCTGAATCCTGGCGATGTTGGGTGTCCAATTTCATTAGCAACGTACGTCCCCAACAGCCAAAGCAACCTTTCAATTCGCTGGCCTGGCCTGGCCTGGCCTGGCCATGTTTTGAAATGGAACTTTCAGCATATCTGTCAGGGAAATGTGTGTATCGTATCCTTTTGTCACATTACGAGACCATTTACATAAAATGAAATTGAATACGGATGAACATTTTTGGACATGTGTCTTCACCCTTTCTTCTGGTACCCCGTTCCTGGTTTCCTCGGGGGTTTTGTCTCCTTTTGTCATAATTTAATTAGCAAAAGGTAACAAATGAATGGCGACCCCCCCCCATACCACCGAACCACGAACCCATGGCCGAACCCCAGGACAATGTTTGACCCGCCGTTGTCTAGGGACATAATAAATATCCAGCAATTTCGCACAAGTCATAAATTAGGCAATTGGAATTTGTTTTCCAATTACACATATTTCACACCGCATGCCAAATAATTTAGCCTCACTGTCAGCCACTCGCGAAAACTAGAAAGGAAGGATGGTTTTAGATGCCGAACATTGAGATACACTTGAGGATCCAACGAGTTTAAATCTTATTATGCAAAATATGTAATAAATATAATAATAATAAATAATCAATGGGATTAGCTGGTATCGAAACTGACATTTCTTCTCTATAGTATAAGCCATTTGCTCTATATCGTAATACCCTCTCTTTAAGGGTACACAAAAAAAGCTACGCTTGAAATACACGTAGTGCAGAATCGAAGGCTATTTCTATTTTGATAATTTATAACGCACGGCAGCACGGGGCAACAAGTACAAATTGTCAAAAGTATTTTGCATCTCGAGAGGAGACCAGTGGACCACCCAGGGTGCAGCACCAGACCACACTCCTCCTCTGGCCAATCTACCGACCACCAGACACTCCTCCTCTGGCCAATCTCCTGACCCCCAGACAGTGCCACGCGTTCATAACGAGTCACAAATTCGCATTGCAATTGAGCAAAGATGGTGAGATGGAGACGGGAAGTGGAGACTGGTGACGGGAGAAGGTGATGTGGAAGATGGGGACTCTGCGCCGGCGCGGTCTCCCATCATAATTTCTCAGCCAACAACACCTTCCTGGTCCGCACAGATTCCGGTTTTTGCCACAATCTGGAGGAGGGGAATGCGAATGCAAGTGCGGGGGACTGCCACCCGCCTGGACCATGAGGCCATGGCATTTCCATGTGCCACCCAACTGGTTGCTTATTTTTGCGTATTAACGCGCGAAATAATTTTTTATTTTGACCATCATCAAAGGATTGAAAAATGCCCCCTAATATCTTAGGGTCTTTGTGACGGCTTGGTCTTTTTGTGTGTGTGCAGTGCAGCCCGGGAACCAAGACCCGGATTATGCCACTTGGACACATAAGGAGTCTTCCACTGGAAGCTTATATAATTATTCTTTCTTTTCTTGGGTTGTGTTTGTTGGTTGTGAAAGGAGTTTCGGAAGGACAAGAGGAATTTAAATCAAATATTAACAAAAGCTACTCAAAGATACCAAAATATTATCATCTCTCATATTGGAAAAACCTAACAATATATGGTAGTTTCTATTACTGTAGACCTGCCTTCAAAAACTATTTCCACATTATATAATTCCCATAATTCCCCATTACACAACTCCTAGCACTTGAAAATCTATTAAATTAGTTCCACTTCGCTCCATTTGGCAGTGTAGTGTAAATAATTTAATAGCATTTTTTTGCAACAATTTTCCGCACAATTTTCCATAGCTTGTTTACAGCAACATAAAGACAACAATTTGCGATACGAAATATAGTTCACGGACACACCTCCTGCAAGGCAATTGTTCAGCGATTTTTCAAGCCAAATTCCCACGTTCTCCGACCGCAAGACAGAGACTTTAATCCATGCCAACGATCCAAGTGCGAATGCGAATGCAAATGCAGCGAATCAATCATGTGCCTAGAGCCAAGAAATAGTTGCAACCGTTACCTTGTTGCTCGATTGGTCACAAAATCTTAACACCTTCGCCAAGGCTGCGGATGAGGCTGAGAGGCTTACAGGCTGATGCTGATGCTGAGGAGGGATGATCATATCGGAACGGATCGTATAAGATGAGATGATGATGATCACAGCTCGCAGATCGCTGATCACTCCAGTGGCTCGCCATTAAAGTCAAATCATTTTTCACATTTAGATATTCGACCAGACCCACTCGGCGGCTTCAATTGATGCCATCCATCCGAAAACCATCCGCCAACTGAAATTGCCCCGATCACGATTCCTAGGGGGGGTGGGATGTTGGAGGTAGGCAAAACTTGGATCTTGGACGAGGTCTCCATTTCGGGACTGGGGGCTTACATAAAAGTAATCAAATCAACACCTTCATCAACTCCTTTGGCCACGCTGAAACCGCAAAATGCCTTCCTTATTTCAGAGCCTCGACCAATTTGAAGTTTGGTAATTTTTCTCTCTTTCTCTCTCTCGCTGTGGTAGTTGCTCTCCACTCGCAGATCGTTTCTCAATTTCGCACTGAAGATGGAGATGAAGTTAGAGCTGTAGCTGGGTCTCTTCTGGGGCTGGAGCTGGACTTGAAGCTGTAGCTTTAGCTGTGGAGCAGTGGCGATCGGTTGTCGATCAAATTGTTATTTTCGATATCTAATTTGTCATTTGCAGCGACTCTCGACTCTGTGCAAAGGCAACAGCAGCAGCAGCAATTTTCTTTCGGATCGGTACTGCTGTCTGTGTCTTGGGTCTGGAGTCTTGCTGTCTGCATTGCACGATCCTTAAGTTGGGGTTTCGGTTTCGGATTTGGTTGTTGCCCAGAGCAAACTAGGGAATCCCGACGATTATCTTGTCGGCGCGTGAAATTCCCCAGCACCACAGCATCAGAGCACCGCAGAGCACCAGAGGAATTGACCTGCAATTGATACCAATCCACGGCAATCCATTACAGAGGCTAAGCGCACAAGTTGCATGTCTCATTATTGGCAATTTCAGAGCAGTTCGGGTAATTGCCCCCCCCACCACGGATTACATCCACATCCATCCTTTGGTATGTGTATGGTATGGATGTGCTTTGGATCTGTCTGCGGATTGAGGTGGGTGCCGTGCCTTTGCTCATGACTTGAGCATTTATTTCTGCAACACATGATATTTTGTTGCATCACGTACCGCTTAATGTTCAGATATACATATGTTTTGGGCCTTTGAGGAAGTTGTCTTGGAACTTATGAAAGTTTCCTTCGGTCAATGGTCACTGGGGAGGTCGGAGGCTTTTATTTTCGCAGTGATTAGAAATTCATTTTTGGGTTTTGGCTTTAAAGTTTTCCCCAGAAAGTCGGCATATTCGAAAAACGAGTGGAAAGCGTATGTGTTGCGACAGTTAGGGGGTGGAATTTTTTAGGGAAAGTTTTGCAGGAGAAAGTGTGAATAGTGGATATTGGAAAACCCCCTTTCATTGTTATTTAATTTTTTTTTTTATTAAATATTATTTTCTTTTAACGTACACATCATTCGCATATCGAAATCAATCCATACAAAAAAACGTAAAACAAACAGTTTTTATGCTAATTAAATACTCAAGTACATTCGATTGAACCCAATAAACATTTCGAGAGACGCTGATGATGATTCCGATGTGGATGTGTTTTTTCCTGTTCTACTGCGATGTGTCTTCAATTAGTGATAAGGACACATACAAACACTATCGTTGACACCTTCATTTCAATTACAGAGCATCCATAGCATCCACTTATTTCCTTATCAGTAGATTTACATACATTAAATACTTTGGAATCACACTTAAAACTGTATTTACACGCGTTTACGTGATGCATTCGATAAGCAATTGTATTTATGTAATACTTAATTTGTATTATTTCATATTATTTACACAGTTTTTTTCTTTATTTGTTGCTGTTCGATTTCCCCCATTGATTTCCATTTATTAAATACGCAAATTGGCTCGATGCTCGATCGATGACAACACTTTTTCTTCCCTATATACAAACTTTGGCTGCAAATAAAAATGTTTTTCCAAAATAAATAAAAAACGAAGTGTGCATAAAATATTCATTATAAACGCAAATTTTTATTTATTACAAAATATAGAAAACTTTTCATACTTTTTTATACACATAAATAAAATAATGCTTAGGCTTACGCGAAAATATTGTGTTTTAAAAAAACTGAAACTTGCACTGAATTTTCTTTAAACAAAATTTGCTAAATTTTGGATTTAATTTTAAACGAAATTATGCCACTCCGCCCGCCCTTAAAGAGCAAAGGGGACCAACATGTACATTTTAAATTTTACTTAAAGTAAAAATAAAATTGCTAAAGCACGCTGTATAAAAAATTGCCACACATCAAAGTAATTTTATAGCTAAGAAAATTTTTGGTATATTTCTGCGAACCACTGGGATTAGAACATCTATATCTTTCTATATATATATATATCTGTATCTGATAGTTGCATATAAATATTTTAACTAACATACAGGTTTTTTGTCTTTTTTTTGTTGAGAGGGGGTGATAAAGAGATTTCTCTTTTGTTAAACTTTTTTTTAAGTAGAACTCAGTGCCATTGAAATATTATACACATTTTTATTGTATATAGAACCCCTATGTTGAGAAGGGGCTCCTAACTTTAAAAGTTCTCCGGATATGGGTAAGTATCTTTTAATTTGTTTTGGGGTTTTTGGGGGATTTATGTACAAAAATACAACAAAAATTAAACAATTAAGCTACTCGAATCGTCCATATCTTTTTTTTTTTTTACATTTTTCTTTGTTTTTTTTTGGGTTGGGATTTTGGATTTTTGGGTATCTACAACATTGTTTTATAGCCCCATTTCTAGATGCATAAATAATTACACTACTTGACATCCACAATGAGAGGAACTTCGCTGATATCTATTAAATTTGGTGGCGATTGTTGCTGCTGCTGTTGCGGCTGATGATGCATATGTTGCAAATGTTGCTGCGGGGTGGATGTGGCAGTCGTGGCTGCTGTTGCTGCTGCTGCTGCTATTGCTGTTGGCGTCGATGAGGCAGATGACAGTGAACCAGCAGCAGATAGATGATCATTGTTGCTGCTGCTGTTGCTGCCACCGCTGGTTGCCAGCAACATGCGCTGGTGATGTTGTTGCAGGCATTGATTTGCATTGACTGCCGCCGCGGCCATCATCATGGTAGCGGCATCGCAGTAATTAGACAGCATCGTTGTGGATGTTGCTGTGGCTGTTGCTGTTGCAGATGTTGCTGTTGCTGCTGCAGATGCTGGTGTCACATATGCAACATTCGGCGAGGCCATATAATCGTTGTTGCTGTTGATGCTGTTGCTGCTGCCTGTGGCACTGAAGAAACTTGTGGCACTCATATGATTGCTGCCACTGCTGCCATTGCTATTGTTGCTGCTGTGGTAGTTGTTGATTTGCTGATTGCAAATGTTGCTGTTGCCGCCGCCGCCGCCGCCGCTGTTGTTGCAATTGCTGTTGTTACCCCCGCCGTATATCGCAGCAGCAGCAACATTGCCATGCTGATCAACAACATTGTGGCTGCCACAGCCAGCAACTCCTCCGCTTCCGCCACCGCCACCGCCACCACCACCGCCAATGCCTGGATTGATGTTGAGCGTTGCAGCCGCCACAGCTGCGGCCGATGATCAAGTTGTTGTCAATTGGCGCCACATCGTGTGTCACATCGAAGGCAGATAGGGCCACGAGAAACTGTTGCCGCTCAAGAGCATGTCGCGTATCAGCGTTTCGATGGGCGTTTTTCCGACTAGACGCACAAAAAACAATTGCTCAATGACCTGCACGAAGAAAAAACAAAACAAAACAAAAGATACAGGAAATTAATAAAAAATTTATAAGAAATAAAATAGTTTAATTCAAGACTCTAGATTCATATTTATTCGTTTGCAATGCATTTTTTCTAGTCAGATAAGTTCTGGGTAATTTCTATTATTTGTATAGTGAAGCTATTCGATGCTAAGGTTTCTACTTACTTGTGAGGAAACAGTTCGCAGCGAGGGTAATCTGAGCAGCAGCTTTCCAAATCTCGTTGGCTGATTGGGATACTGCGTCCGACAGTACTCCTCGAGAGCGCATTGTGATTTCTCTTGCAGGGATTCAATGTGCGTCACGTCGCTCAGGCCGCAGGCATCTGCAACAAAAAATCAAAGAAGAAAAGGCTCCAATAAATAAAAAGCACACTCCATTTGGCTTGCTATGCAAATACAATACATAATTGTGGCTTTTGATAGCTTGAAGTTTTTCCAATTCACAGAAACACAAACCGGGGGCACACGCCCATCCAGTATCTCCAGTTGAAAACACCACAGAACACCACACAACAACAACAAACACAACAGCAACAATCCGATGACGAAACTAGCGGGGATTACATCATTTTTTGTTTTTTGCTAGGTTTATGTTTGAATTGAAAAACGGTCAACAACAGTTGGTTTAATTAAATTTTCGGAAAAAATTAAACCATAAGACAACGCCCCGGGCCAACCCATTGCGGGTTTTCCTCTCTTGTCAGTTAGCCCATGGCATTTAATTACAGTCAACCGATAGATGTATTGCGCATACGCAGCGTGTGCCGTCGTTCGAGTGTTAATTACGAGGCACCAAAAGTTTGACTATCAAGTGGTCGATGCTGTTGGAAAAACATCAGCCCAAACAAGAAGGGAAGGGTAGTTTCAAGAGCCGAAACTCGAGATACTCTACCAAAGCGATTGATAGTACGGAAGGTTGGTGTTTGGAATCATCCGTAGATTCTTTTTACGACTGATTGCTCCTGTAGAACCTGTCTGATACACAATAGGGCTCTGAAAACCCATACCGAAACACTATTCAAAATCGTACTACCCTCAACAAAGGGTACAGGGTAAAAATGAACAGACCAGCATTGAATTTAGCATTTTCTTCTATTTTCGTTAAATCTATATACATATACAGTATTCAGTGTTTGTCTGTTTGAAATTCAAATTAGACATCAGCACTTGTAAATTTGCATAGCTTTAAAGCATTTTAAATGGTTGTGGTTGTGGTTGTCGTTGTCGTTGTTTTCGCTGCTAAGAATGGCGTTTCGAAATTGCATATGAAATTTTGTTTGCTTAATTAGTCACTGCACACACGAGGACTCCATTACGCAAAAACAGAAAGACTGAAAGACTGAAACACTGAAACTGAAAAAACAAGCTAAAGACCCCAACCAACTGATATATCATTTTGCAGCTGAGCAACCGAACGGGCGGCTAATGATTTGGCCATTTGCCAGCCGATATCATCATGACTTGATGTCAGGCTCATATATCCGATGATTGCAGGGGCCGGCTGGCGTGGTTTCGGGTCTCACATTTGACTGCATGTCGTTAATGGCTCTGGCGTCGCATTGGTTGCACATAACCCCCCACAAGCTGGCCATAAAAGACAAGTGTCAATTGAAAGCCAATACGGGGCAGCAAGTCCAAAGCTTAAACAAATCGCAGATGCAGCTATACAGATAAACGAATGGTTACCTTTTTGAGATTTAAGCTATCATATAAATTTCATGCTCAATCGAGGTCTAGGAGAAGCGCAGTGGAGGTGGTTCAAAGGCAGCCCTTTACTTCACTTAAAGCCCCCACACAATGCGCGTAAATCAAGTTAAATGATTTGTCGCCAAAGGCAAAACACAACAGAAATTCAATTAGCCATTATTAACCATTCCATTTCATAAACCACAAGCAAGCATGAAGTCAAGCCAACAGCCAAACGAACGAATGAACGAAGGAAACAGAGGTACTCGTAATCGTGAAGCTCAGGTCTCAACGAGACGACGGCGATACAAATTAGACATGGTCAGTCTTCCAGAGCATAGAGCCTCGAACGAATCACTTCATTGGCCATGGCCATAATTGTCAATTGACTTTCCATTAGCCTGGGACGGATCGGGATTGGAGTCTCTTCCAGAGTCTGCACCCAAATAGAAAATCATAAACCCAAAACAACACAAGAGGGAGTCTCAGCGGAGGCGCACAAAATTTTAGTTTCATTGAAATGCAGCAGAGATGATGATGCTGGATGGAGGATGGAGTAGTCCCAGGAGGAGAAGGCTGGTACTGGGACTGGGACAGCGGAGGAGTTGCATGCTTAAAGTGAAAGACATTCCACTTCCAGGTCTTTGGGGCCGAAAAGAAATGCAGGCACACAGCGGAGCGGAGCTTTCTCGAGGGGTTTCGCCTTGTCTTTGACTTTGATTTTTATGCTCTTCTACAAGTTATAATGAATTTTAGGAGATGTTTGTAGTGTAGCAGGAGGAATGAGAATATTTGAAGCAATCACTAAGATCAGATCAATTTATGCCACATCTGTATGTAGAGGCGAATACCTGCAGCATATATCTAACATGAGTACGATTAATCTTCAAAGGGTATTCGATGCTTCGACCCCCCGAAGCAGAGCTTTTCTTTCTTGTTTCTCTTGACTCTGGCTATGGCTTTGGCTCTCTACCTTCGACTCTGACTCTTTGTTAAACCGTTTTCCTGCCTTGTAGTTATGTACCCTACGAGTTTTTGGCTTCGATTTGTATTTGGTTTTTGGGCTTTGGTTTTCGGGTTTCGACTCGTCGCAGTTACTAACTCAGCAGCGGAGACGCAGACGTAGACGCTGATATATACGGGAAGGGAGGGAGGTAGAGATCGTGACCGCGTGTTTTAAATGCATAATGACCGTAAAGTAGTTGGACTAAGCCACCAGACGACTCTACATATCGGAAAAGCATACAGCCACACAGCCACAGCGTGGGGAGGGGGGAAACGACGCTGTTTAACAAAATTATGAATTGCTGCATTATATTTTATTAGATTTTGTGTTCTTTATGGCGGCCGGCACCAGTTCTGACCAGCAGTTCGTGCCTGGACCTGGCCACAAAAACAGTTATAGCTTTATTTAGTTTTAATAAGGATCGAGGGGGGGTCATGTGGGGTCAACTGGGGCAAAGGCACTCTATCAACGGCATCTAAGTCTTGTGCAAACTTTGACTCCCAGACCAAAGCTAATATCGAAACGCGCCCTTAATGATTCTAATCAACGAGACCGTCTGCCTCGACTCAAACTGTTAATTACAAGAAGGGGCCAGTGCCTGAGTCTGAGCCTGAGCCTGAGCCTATGCCGCAAGGCACGTCTCTGGCAATTTTCAGGGAAAAAGTAGCGCAAGCGATCAATGAGCGCCACAAAACGATTTGAGCAGCCCGAGACACAGAGCCAGAGCTAGAGCCAGAGCCAGAGCCACATCCAAAAGCGCAAGCACACAAAATGTTGGTCAAAAAGTGTGGCCAAGACATGAAAGCTACAACTCTTAACAACTGCAACAAACGACAGCAATCAGAAGGGGGGAAAGACGGAGCCAGAGGCCTGGCCATGGAAGATGCACCATGGGTAACCATGCCGCAGCGCAGACACACAGCCACACAGCCACATAGCTATAGGATCAGAGCCACAGAAGACATGTCGTCAATGTGCTGCAGCAGCAGAAGATCTAGTAAGTCTATACCCGGTATTTTACTACCGCGATCGTGTCTCGTCTCCCACAATCTGCAAAGAAAGAGTCGAAAACGATGGGGACGACGACGCAGCGATTGATCGGCTGCAGTTTATGGACTCATGCAGCCAATTCAAATGCAATTGCGGCTTGCAACTCGGTCCCAGACCATGGGCACCGCTGTTTGGGTCGGGTCGGTCCATGGGTCCACGAGTCCACGAACGAGCAAACTCCATGCCACACACGCCCCCTCATAGAGGAGATGATGGTGGAGGAGAGGCAGTGGCAGTGGCACTGGCAGAGGTACAGGCAGAGGCAGAGGCAGATGCAGAGCTTTGGCCTAGCGACACACACAGCGTTTTGTGGAAATTGTAAAAATGATTTTCATTGCAAGTTTTGGCCAAGGCCTGGACATGGTCCACTGGTCGGATCGGGTTGGGATTATAGTTGGAGCTGGGGCTGGAGTTGGAGTTGGAGCAGAGTTAGAGTTTGGCTTGTAAGTAAGCGACATAAACGAGTGTTGTATTAATGTTCATAATGTGGTATCGCGACGTCAATAAACGTCGCCACGAAAACAGTGGAGGAGCGGGGCCTAAAAGGAGGATCGGTTCGGATCAGTTTAGAGGAACAAAAAAACAATTGCGACGTGCCCCTCGACAGCTGGTTGACATGACACGAGAAAGGAGTGGCGGCACAAAGGAGGGTGCACATGGGAGAGGAACAAACTTAAGCCAAATTTCACTTCACTCTTAAAGCGAAGACTTTGAAAACTATTCCAGTTATCTTTGAATTAAGATGTATTAAATTAATAGTTGAATATCGCTTTGTTCGGTATGGAAAATTATGTAACTTTGGGAAAATCGTAGAACTTTGCTACGTCTAGTAATTTCTGTTCCACACTACGTGGATTCAGTGCGCGAAATTCCGAAAATGTTTTTGCCATTTTGCCATAAATTAGAAATAGGAACGTTGCCCTAATCGATAAACCTTAACTTAGAAATAAACTTAGCTTAAACTTAACTTAAGTAGTCTCAAAAAATAAGTGTCTGTTCTTTCTATTTGCATATGAAACATCAATGATTTATTTATCACGTGGAACCTAAATATATATACTTATAAACTTAGGAAATATATTGTTTAAATGTTCACATTTTAGTGGCTGTGATTTATGTGTGTATGTGTGTGTGTGTTTGAGTGTGTGTTAGATGTGCATTTGTGTGTGCAATCCCAAAGTCCAGAGTTCTGTAGCCACGTGTGTAGGGGATTAAATTTTGTGTCAAGCTTTTTGTTAAAAAAAAACGAAATAAAAATGTGTAAATATTAGTAATAAATAAATGAATGTGTGGAGAAAGGAAAACTGTAAATTTTGTTCAAATTATGGGGTTTTTAACGTTATAAAAATCAACCAAATTTAAAGCTTTCCAAAGTGCTGAAAGAAAAGGTGAATAAATGGAAAACAAAATTAAAGCCTTTACCTTGGGATATTTGTTTGCCTCGAAAACTTAATCAGAGAGGACTCATCACTTTAGGTTTTCGAGGCAATGGATTGGATATTATTCTGGTTAATTTTTGTATTATATAAAAAAATTAATGTGTATTCTTTCTTAGGATTTTTGCTAAAAAATGTGAGGCATTTTAAGAAGGATTTAAGGAATCTTTAAGTCATTCAAAATATTGTTGGAGCAATGAAATATGTTTAAAAAATGTTCTGTTTTAGAAGAGAATTGCTCGTTCTTCGAAGTTATTATTTTAAAACTTCTTAACACACTGAATAAATGTTTAGAAAATAAGATACTTTATTATCAAATTTGTTAAATTCATCCACAAAAATGAGGAACTTGCAGGACTATTGTTTAGATTTATTTATTTCTGAAAGATTGATTTGATTCAGAAAGATTAAATATCTTTGAATATGTTCTTGGAAATTTAGTTAATTGTAATTCTTTTCTAAAAATGTAACTTTTGAAGTTTTGTATAAATATTTTGACCATGATCAAATTATTTTAATTTCAGATTCCAATAAGATCTGTTATTAGTTATTGAAACCAAAACTAATTGATCATGGTGATTAATTAACGAATTTATACTGCAAAATGGCATATCTATATATTTTGAACTTTCATTTAATTTAATTATGTCAAACTTCAATCTTGTATGAGGAATATTTTGTACCACCCATAAAGGTTGAAGATATGAAATAATTGTATGAACTTCGATACCAAAATTAATTTTTTCTAGATTTGTTTTCTATTATTTCTATGAATTTTTGTACAAAAATATTACAGAAATATTTAGTTTACTTCAAAATCTATAAGGATCTCATGTGGGGGGATATTTTTGGGAAGTATTTTTACTTTGGAGAAGAATTTATGAAGATGAAATCTGAATAGTAATGTTAGTGAATTGTTAGTCAGGATGTAATGTTGGTTAGTAAATACTTTTTAAAATTAGTCAACAAGTGATTTAAACAATTAGTAACGAAATAAACGAGTAAAAACACAAGCCAGGATTAGATTTTTTGGTTTAACAGCAACAGCTTTATATATATTCTGAGGATTTTCTTTCTTCATTTGTACTCCAGACTTTCATCGATTCTTTGTATGCAATGTAGTTTTTGGCAATAACGATTCTAGGCTAAGGATTACGGCTATAATAATTTAGACTTAGTGTAAGGCAATAAATACTTAGATAGCGGCTAAAGTAACTTTAGATACACGTAGGTGCTATACTAGCTATAGACATATAGATACAGATACATTTACAGGTTGAGCTATGGCTATAGCTATACGACTGAGGCGGGAGATGAGATTCTAGCGACAAAATAAAGGCCTACAACTGCCATCTACTGCCCGCCAGGCTATAGGGAGAATATCTATAGGTGGGACTGCCAAAGGATCCGCTGCCATGGCCATGGCCATGTGGCATACCCCCCACCCCCACCCCGAAGGGCGTGCTGTGATGGAACATATCGAAGGCCGATCCGAAGGGGGCACGCGGCGGCGTCTGATAGTGGAACATGGCAGCAGCCGCCGCCGCAGCGGACGACGTCTGATAGGCTCCACCCAGCGAAGAGGCTGCCGTGGTGGTGGCAGACGCCGAAGTGGGGATCGAAAGAGAGGAAGGTGCCGATACGGAGACGGAGAGGGGGGCTGCAACTGGGGCAGGGACGGGGGCCAGCGAAGTACTCAGCGGCGAGGCGGTTAGGTTGAGGGAGGACGAACCGCTTTGCGATTGAGTAGGAAGCGAGGCGCCCAGACCGCTGCTGTTATTGTGGCCGGAAGAGTCCCCACTCGAGGTGGCACCCTGCGCCTGGGCATAGAGGCTGGCCAGGAGATCCATCTCGGAGTTACTGGCAGTGGACTTGGCGCAGCTGCTGAAGGCACTGCCGGCGGAGGGCACCACAGCCGCAGAAGAGCAGATGGGAGAGGGTTTGCTCTCAGCCTTAAAGTGCTGCTGCTGCTGCTGCTGCTGCTGCTGATGCTGATGCACCTGCTGCTGCACCTGCTTCTGTTGGTGCTGCTCCGCCTGCTGCACTGCAGCCTCCACGCCGGCCACACTCTTCATGAAAGCCGCCAAATGGATGGGCGCCTGGGTGGGAGCCTGCGACTCCATCTCCTGGCGATTCAGCTCATCGAGATGGTCTCGCACAACATTGAGGATATCATCGTTGGTGGAGCTGGACGGCTTTCCGAGCAGTGCTGAAACTTTCGTTAGCAGTGCGGGCACATCCTTGTAGAGGATGTCCAGCAACTTACCGGTGGTGAAGAGAACGATCGCCTTGAGGCAGGAGTACTCGGCGGAGTCCACATGCAGCGCCTTCAGCTTCTCCACCTGCTCCTGGAAGATGCGTATGTGGTCCATGAAGGCCACCACCCGATCCGCGGCCATGGGAGAGGCGTGTAGACCCGCTGCCGCCAGCAGTGGTGCCACATGCAGTGGCATCGAGCACTGGCTGGCGTTCAGCACAAACAGCTCCGACCAGACGAGGCGGAGCAGGGCCACCTGGTCGGTGACCTGCAGCTCGGGGAAGAAGGGTATATTCTTGGCCCACTCGACGGCCGAGAAGAGCAGCCTCGCGGCCAGCTCGCAGATGTTGTCGATGCCCATAATGTTGTTCGGCTGCATGCACTGGCCGTATCGAGACGTGGGATATGGCTCCGCTCGCAGCAGCAGCGAGATGTAGGAACTGAGGTACGAGTGACCATTGAAGCCGGCAATGCCCATGGGATCCCCATTGGCGATCTGGTACTGGCCATGCATGCCCGCGAGGCCAGGCTGTGTGGGTGGTACGCGTCCCCGTTGAACAGCTGCAAAGAAACAGAAGAAGATGTGCGAAATTAGTTGATTTCTGATTCGAAAAGAGAAGGATATGAGTCTAAACTAAGTTTAAGCAGTGCCCTGGGCTCTATGGGTAGAATGGCGGCATACCCCTGGGCAAGCATCTGTATCTATCCCTTTTGTTGGGCTTATTTTGACCGCCACATCACACGCCGCACAATGCGACGCATTCAGATCTGTTGGCAAAGCTGCCACAGCGCACAATGGGCCAGCCATATCAGGCCACCTCAATCTCTCAATCTCTGACGCATCTCTCGCGCACACAGATATCTGCGTCGTTCTGTGTGCTGTGCCTTTTGTCCCAAGTCCAAGACAACGTCATAAGATACTTTTCGCTGCTCTCTGTGGCATGGCATTTCTACCTACCCCCCAAAGCACGAACACACAATCGGAACAGAGCCCTTACCCTCAGTTGCTTTCAACCCCATTGCTGGTTTGGTGTTCGTTGTCGCAACTGCTTAGATATGCAAATTGAACTAAATACTTTCAACGCATCTTTAAGGTACAAACGCGTACGTACGTATGTCCCTGGCAGCATGGAGATCCTTCAGGCAGATGTAGGGGAAATCGCAAAAATTAAATGTGCACAGGTTTTCTTTTCATTCGTTTTTGTTGCAGTGAAAAGTACATATACTCGCATGTAGATGGCGATTTATAAACATTATAATTAACAATGTAAATGCTCAACAACAAAGCAGCTAAATGGAAAGTGAAAGGCCTTTTGAACTCGAGGCCGGAAACGGAATTTCCCCGCAAAGACAGACAGAGAGGCAGAGACATTGACATGTACATGGACTTGGCTTTGGAGATTGGGGATGGGTCTGCGTCTGCTCTTTGCTGCTTTGCTGCTTTGTTGTGGACTGTGGATATGGGATATATGACCATGGGATGTGCTAAAGTTAAGTTAAGCCACTTGGACACGCTCTCGCGAGTGACATGTAAGCGGAAACTTGAGCACGTGCTGGCGTACTGGAGGATTCATTCATTAAGTAATCAGCGCCTGCAACAACAACAACAACAACAACACCACCAAAGAAAAGGGCAGTTCGGGGCCAAGGACCACAATCCCTTCGTGTGATGTTGCTTTCTTGGCTGCTGTAATCTGTGGCCTGATCTGCGCACCAGAAACCACAGGCTTAGCCATTGGTCTCTTTGCATCTCTCTGCTTGCAGCCTTTGGCTTCTTGCATTATTCTTGCGGTCAGACAATATTTTCCCAGGCGCATAAATAAGACTGGACTGGACACTGGACACTCCAACCGGTTTATGGTTCGCTTTCTGCCCATAGATCACCCAGTGACTGGCGGTAGAACGGAGTAGGAAATAGTCTTATGGAATCCTCTCGCTCTCTGCACAATTACGCAAATGTATTCTGTAAATAACTGTCTCTGGCACTCTCCCCTGGCCGGACAGTGGTCAAGGAACTGGTTCTGCGCCTGGTCAGTGCCTGAGCAACCCTTAGCTTAATTGCTTCGGTAAAGCAATAAACAAACACCTTTCCAGGGGACCACGACCCAAAACGGATTTCCAGATCATGTGTGTGCCGTCGCAGACTGACCAAAAAGTGCTTTCGCTTTTCAGATCAACGAAATCACTCGACAAAAGACGTTACGCTGGGCTTCCAGGTAGAGATTTGTGCTGTGGCCAGAGTTTCAGGTTCCATTTCCAGCTGTACAATGTACATATGTATATATGTATGTACATACAATGAGAGCTTCGATCAATACTCGTAATAATGTTTTTGCCATTGCTTTTGCCTTTGCCTTTGCTTTGTTTTAAGGCCCCAAGGCTTTGATTTCGTTGGACAGATTGTGTCTCTCTCTCCCGCTCTGGGAGCTCTAGGTGTGCCTAGGATGTGTGTGTTTGTTGTCTATCGCATAAAGGTGTGGAGTGCTAAACAAACCTTTGTTTGACCCACTTTCCTAACCAGCAAAGTCTCTCTCGTACTAGGCCCCGCGATCTCTGGCCATTGTCTCTGGCCAAGAAATGCGTTCGAACCAAGCCCCGAATGCAGGTGTTGCATTTCGAATTCCGTTCGGGGTCAAAGTGTACAGCAGAGTTCGGTGCTTTGGAATGCTGCATGCAGCGAAAAACCCTCCCCTTTAAAAGATCCCGTCCTAGCCGCATTCCTATACGATTTCAATCCCTTTACCCATAAAAATCCCTTTAAAAAATTATAATAAATTCCCTAAAATTTGCCTCCCTTAACGGAAACTCGTTTGTTTCGATTGACAAAATTATAGAGTAAAAATATCTGTGTCCAGTTCTTGCTACTTCCCCTCCCCACCCCGCAGCACTTCCCTTGACCAATTGACACTGGAATTTAATTAGAGCGACCCGGAACACAGATTCCATGTTGATTTTTTGTTCAGGTTTGGGCTTTTTGTATGCCAAAACCCGTACAATTTCTTGACCCTGGGGTCATTCCAGGCACCACCTTTGTCCCGCTTTACGGCTAAAGTACTGACCCCCTCCACACCCCCCTCCCGCAGCACACCGCCTCGCATAAAGAGGGTAAAAAACGAAGGGAATATTCTATGCAGAAATGACATTTTCCCACGATTTTTCAGCTCTGATTGTGCGGCGAAAGAAGAGGAGCGGGGACTAGTTTTACGCAGAACTTGTCATTACATTGAGGAAATGTGTGACTCAAGGCGAATCCCTCTCCAGGCAAAAACAAAAAGGTGTTGAACTCTTTTGAGTTTTATTAGCAGTGGGACAAGTAGGAGATCTGGTAGCGGACTCAGAGTGGCCAAAAGTGAGGAAATAATCGGAATTAATGGGGCTTCAACAACAGGTAGCTCTGTGGCTGAGACCTGGGGAGTTCAGACTGTGTCATTAGCCGAAAACTTGTCTCGCGGCTCGAGCAAACATTGGGTTAGGTAAATTTGAAATGCTATAGTCCATAGCCCATAGCCATTGCCATAGTCGGGGCTTAGTCGGGGACTAAGTAAATGTTTATATTCATTTAATTACAAGTGCATTGAGAGGACAGGCACAGGCCCAGGCAGCGAGATGCTGTGGCTGTGGCTGTGGCTGTAGCTGTGTCTATTGCAGTGGCTTTAGCTGCATTTTAATTGCCCATAGTCGCCATAAATTAACGTTTTCGTTCTTAACCCAAATCGATGTACGACAGACAGAGATCTACAGTACAGTCTGTACAGTCAGTGGACTCTGTCGGCTGCCGTTGGTTATTAGCATTTTGCGAAAAACCTGTCAATATTAGTGCAAATAATAACAGCTTAGCGTCCACTAACTGCAGTCTTGGGCTCTATCTCTCCCTGACAGACGTTAATTGTTAATGCTGACAAGTGTAACTGGCCATTGTCAGTCCAGTCTGCTAGTCAGTCAGTCAGTCAGTCAGTCTCCCAGTCAGTCAGTCAATCAGTCAGTCAATCAGTGGAGCCGCTGCCTTTGGCAATCTGTGAGCGCGTTTGCCAGGAAAACAAGTCTCACCCAAGTATGCCAAATATTTGGCATGGCTTTGCTTACAAATTAGTTACATATTGGCCAGCAGTCGGCATTGATTAACTGACAGATTTTATGGACAAGTACAAGTCTCTTCAAGTTTCTTTCAGTGCATATGATTGAGACTGTCGGTATGTGCTTTTTGCACAGCATCTCCCCGGCTATGGCACCTAAAATCTATCATATCTAATAGATATTATAGATATTATATTAGCTATCAAACATCGATTTTTAAGAGTATCTGAAGCTTCGTTTGTAAACCCCCTCCCCCCGAAAAGCAGGCGCCTTGCCTTCCTTTCTTGTTTAATTATGAACAAACGAGCGAACGAGTTTGCATTTGATCTCTGGGGTCAAAATGTTGCACTCGCCCGCCTGCCTGCCTGCCAGCCAGCCAGCCTAATTGTTATTTTCTATTACGGCCGTTTCTGGGTAAAGCAATTTGTGGTGCGTGGATGATTGCCACACGAGAACGAGGCGGGCGGGTGGCGTGTTCGTACCCCAAAGTCTGCTGCTCTGCTAGAGAGCTGCCTGATGTTTGGCCTGATCCGATGTGATCCACATTCTTTGGCATAGTTCTTGGCACCCAAATAACTCAAACTGAACCCACCCCCATGTGACATTTAGTCATCGAGTCCGCCATCTGAAAGCTGTTCTACTTCCGTTCTGTCTCTTCTGTGGGCCTGCTCTGCCTCTGTCGATCATTTAATTTATTTTGTTTGCCTCTAGGTTTGACTTTTAATTGACCCACAACCGGGAATCTCTTTGTTCTAGTTGTTCTATATGCTTGGCCGAGGAATACTTATTATACGACAATATGTATACATATATATATGATCGATCTATAAGGGGAGGTGGGTGGAGAGAGATTCTTACCTTCGCGCCTCATGCCCATTTTGAGACACTTTTTCAATCGGCAATATTGACATTGATTGCGATGATGCTGATCTATGGGACAGTTTCGACTGCCGCGACACGAGTAGGTGAGATTGCGTCGCACAGAGCGTTTGAAGAATGATTTGCAGCCTGAAAATAAAATAAAAGAATATTTGGGAATATTAATATTAATATATGTGATATATGTAGATACAGAAACATTTTCTTCGTAGAGTAATTTCGTATAGAACACTACCCCCTCCCGTCTAGGCCATGTCTTTGTTTTTCCAGCAAGTTGTACAAATTCCATGGCACCCCAGGAGTACAAAGAATTGTTACCACTTGTAAAGCAAAGTGAGTTCCAGCCTCACTTCATGACAACAATCGCAGTACGTAGCCTCAGCCATAGGCCAGTCGCAGTTGCCTGCGGTTCGGTTCCTTTCGGTGATGCCCATGTCAATGGTCATGTTACACGTTTCATGGCTTAACGCCTCCCATAAAATTACCTTTAATGGCTTTCAATTAACAAAGTGTATCTTGGCCAGCCACGAAGATACTCGTACTCGTACTCGTACTCGTACTTTGGCCCAAGCTGTGGCATCCGCACCGAAAGAAGGAAAACTGGCAGCCGCGGATGCCACGAATTTACTGTTAAGGGGGCCCAGACGGACAGATCGGCTACGGCTCGTTGCGGCTAAGTGCTTCAGGACAGAGCAGAGGCCCAAACCCTGGACCTGGCACTGCGGCTGAGGCTGGGATGCTGGCTGTGATGCTGGCTGTGATGCTGGGGTGTTGTTGCCAGTTAATGTCGCCGACGCGTATCTAAACATGTGTATCATTGGGGGGCTCTCGCTCGCTCTCCTAGGCAGCATCTGCATCTGCCTCTGAGTTTTCTGCATAAAGAGCTTCGGCCAAAAAGGGGACGGGGTAAGGGGGTACGAGGTACGGTACGGAGCATTGTCTGGGCCTTTTGGCTTTCGGCCATACACCAAAAAAATTTCTCACAATAACTCAAAACAATGGCATATGCTCATAAAATTCGTTTTAAGCTGTAAAATCATCATCAAACAAAATATGTAAGCGCTGAGCGTTTATGCAGACTCGATCCTACCCCACTCCACCATCGACCAATCCCCCCCCCATGCCTCATATATAGCATACGATCACAGGCTATAAAAGATTTTTCAATGCTTTTTTCTTTCGTTGGCATTGCGATCGTGTGGCTTTCCAGCCTCCCACCGAACTGGGGGAAAACAAAACGTGGCCAGCAAATTGAAACCGATGGAAAGTTAAAGTCGATCGGCTAATGCGCTATAGGAAATGCGTAAAGAGTGAGTACGGCAAAGGGTAGCTCAAAAGAAGAGCTTTGAGCTAATCACTTGATGAGTGTTTAGTGTTGCACACTCCCCCAACAATGATTAGTGGATGCATGGCAGCATCATGGCCCAGATCATATCATAATCGCAGCTCTGCCTTGCAGAGAGCATTCACTATTCACCACGCTCGAGTACCTGCTCAAAGCTTTGCTCCAGAGACCAACCCAAGATACTCCTCGAACACACATAGATACACCTGGGCACACACTCACACAGATACGGCGCACTCACACACTGGTGGCTTTTACACCATATGATCTACGAATAACGATATTGTACCAAGTCACGATTTCTGCCAAAACGTACCGTTGCCTTTTTTTTCTCCGTCGTCTTCCTCTACCTTCCTCTGCCCCTCTACTGCCAGCTACAAACCTCTCTTCTAGCACTGCTTAACCCCTTCTTAACCAATACTATCTTTTGGCTCTTCCACTAAACTTTGACTGGGCTTTTGCGCTGTTGTTGGAGCGAGATACAGATGGACACACAGACGGGCGGATGGACAGACGTTGCAGCCAGGTCGGTCTGTGCCCGAAAGAACTGTGCAACAGAGGCACACTGCCCATATGCGCCTATCGCGACTCTATCTAGAGCTGCAGCCCAAACCCCCAAACCCCCCAACCCCATCCCCAGTGTACGTTGCGATGCGATGCGAAAGATGCGCGCGTCGTCGTTATTGATGAAGATACGAGTACGTGTACGAGTAAGAGTACGAGTACGAGTACTCGTGTATGGGCTACAACGTAGCTTAGAGATACCGTAAACCAAAATCCAAGGCGGGGCAGGGCTGGCGATATCGTATCGTGTTATATCAATAACCGAAAAAGGGTGGATCGCCCCAATGGAGAGTGAAAGAGAGAGAGATGACAACCTGTGGGAAGCATCTCCCCTGATGGCAGGAAGCCCTTCCACTGCCTCCTCTATGGCTTCGACTGCAGCTTAAGCTTAAGCTTAAGACTTCTGCTGACTTATAGTGAGTGGCTAGCATTGGCTTAGTCTAGAGCTAAACTTTGCGGCTTGCGGTAGTTTCAATTACCGCTTCACCTAATTGCCCGAGGGTGGCAGAGGAGTACGAATGGGAGTACTCATATCGCGTGCGCTACGCGCCATAAAGCGTTCAATACAGTTACGAGGGGTTTTCCAAGAACTAAGCTAAGCTAAGCGTTTTATTAATTGAACTTCCTGAAACTGCAGCAGCAGCAGCAGCAACAAAAATACTATCTTTAGATATGTAGACACGAGATGGTCCGCTTGCCGCTTGGCTGAGCAATTTAAAGCGTTAAATTAGTTGGCTTTGGCTTTGGCTTTGGCAAACTCTGGTATCTATATATTTAGTAGGAGAGAGAGAGTGCCTGTATCTTGGGTGAGAGTATATCTATATCTTTTGGCATACATATAGCTGCAATCAATTCAATTTTCTCAGCATTTGCGGTCAATGATCGCTGGGCTCAAAGAACTGCAATGCAAAGTCAAAGCCAGTGTCAGAGCCAGAGCCAGAGTCAGAGCCAGAGCCTTGACTTTGGCTCATTTTCTAATTATTAAAACACATACGAGAGACACAGAGAGAGAGACAGAGAGAGAGAGCCATCATTAAGGTGCAATAATTAAATGTTGAAGCTTACATGGTGCAAGCAGCTAGTCCAAGTAATTAGCACACACCGCCACTCTGCAAGACTGCAAGACTCCGCGGAGGAGACTGCCAAGTATAGCTGCAGCTACAGCTGCAGCTGGAGGGAGTCCAGAGGCGGCTAGACAAAATATCTGGAGTACAACCGAAACATAATTACACAGCCAGAGCCCCCACCAGACACACAGATAGACAGACAGAGAGACGGAGAGACAGACACGAATCCCCACCAACATGCCACTCTTCTGTTGTACGAGTACGAAGCATCTACAAAATGCACTGCTTATGAACGGGGCAAGCAACTGACGGCAAAAGAACACAAAAGATCCGGAACAGGTGGCTGGCCCCCCCTCTGGGATTGATACCCAGGCTCTGGGCCCTGGTTTATTACCCAATATAGGTCAACTGTAAATCAAATTGGCCAAACTGTGAAGCTCTTCCCCAAACTGTCCTGTCCTAGAGCTGCTGCCTAGAACATTCCGCAGTTGCTGGAGCCACAGAGCCCTGCTCGGAGTGTTCATATGTCACAACAATCTACACGTTGCGAAAAAAAAGATACAGCAGCGACCAAAAGGAAAACGCCGACGAGCTCAGATAAGCGATTTAGCTTTGATTTAACTGATGCTATGTGAAGTTATGCGGCAAACTGCAGTTGGAGTCGGTGTCAGAGTCGGAGCAGGGTCTGCCCTGGTCATGTACTACGTACAAGAGCCGTGGTGTTCGGACCACAGAGCGACACATGGCGATAAGAGAGGTTATTGCTGCAGCACCGCCGTGTTGCTTGGCTTGTTGCACCATTAAAGAGTCTTGGCCAGGCCTCTGCTGAGCTCAGACCTACTCGTAGTCCCCAGTCTCTCTCACTGCGGGGCATGTCGTACCACGGATCGGTTCGGTTCGGTTCTAGCGAATGTTGCAAGTGCCACACAGCCACTGCGGAGATGCACACAAAATAGAAAACGTGCCAAGCAAAAGTTGCAGCCAACATTTCGCTGGGCCTGATCGATTAGACCAAGTTAGTTGAAAACGAAAATTGCGCATGAAGTGGCAGCCACAACCGAGACGACTCTCTGCCCCAGAGCCCCAGCAGCAGCCGCAGCAGCAGCAGCAGCAGCAGCAGCAGCAGATCTCTGGAGAGCCAAAAGCTTAACATAATTAATTAAACCGTTACATTATAAAGCGGATCAAGTCGGTAGTTCACGATTTCCCTACTGCAGTCTTTCAGTCTTTTCCGGGCGCCCCTTTTTGTTAGAAATCGCATCGTGTCAGGATGAATTTTTTGCGCCTCATTTCCACAGAGGGATTTCCACTAAGGGGGAGAGACCTTCCACTGGATCTGGGTCTCCGTTTCAGTCTGAGTCTCTGTCTCAGTCTCAGTCTAGGGTCGGCTGCTGCTTTATTGGCTTGAACATTTCTTCTAAGTACAACGATTTGTACTACAAGCCAAGTTTTAATGATTACAATGTCTGCTGCTGCTGCTGAGGCTGCTGCTCCTTGCTGCCTCTTGCTGAATGCTGCTTTTGTTGTTTCTTTGTTTTAACAATATCTGTACAATTAAGTTTTGTTTTTGGTGATTTTCCTTTGGCTTGCTTGCTTGGCTGGCTGGTTTATTTTTAATGAAGGGTTCAGCTCTGGGCTCATTAATGTTGACACAACGTTGAGTAATCCCTCATACCCCCACTGGATCCCAACTGGATGGTGAAAGATTCTCTTTCTCTCCGTTTGTTTGTCTCTGTATCTTTCCGAGTGTTGCGAAATTGGAGAAATGCTTAATCCACAGATACATACGAGTATTAAGAGTAAAGTTTAACCTCTCAAGAGTCTTTCTTCGCCATTAATCTTCTTCTTTCTGTTGTTTTCCGTCTATAAATATGATTACTATGACATAATCGTTAACCCTCCGGCGTTGCGTTAACCCTCCCAATATGTACTATTTATTTTCCTTGCGGAACATAAAAATTTGTCAACATAAATATTGAGGCCATAAGTTACCCCATGCCACATGGCACTCCACACACAGGAGGGGCGCAAAGAGCTGCTACCGAGTTGTAAATCAAGAGCCAGACCAGACTGCAAATCGCACGGAAGTTATAAATGTTTATCAAAATGCGATTTATTTGATAAATGTTATGGCCAAGAAATTGACTCGATTCGTGGTGCAGCCTCCTTGGCTTCGCCTTTGCTCTGAGTCCCAACTAAATGCAAATTTTTAAATACAAGCCCCGAATTTATTTTCCATTTCTTGCTAATTAATAAATAAAAAATCCGCTGGCTGCGGGCGTTACTTGCCTCCCAAAAGCAAAAAAAAACCAACGAGCGAACGTCATAAATTGCAATCCTCCAGTGGGCGTTGTTAATTCTCTGGATTCGTATTTACTTTGTATCTTTTAATATTCGGGTTTTCGAAGAGAGAAGGAGGAGGAGGCGGAGGAGGTCGCTATCACGGACAGCAAATTGATTTATGCTTTTCGCTTTTGTTAAATGCTTAAAGTCGAATGAATTTTCACAGGGAAACATGCATTTTAGAGCAGAGCGCCATTTAACAGATTGTCAAGAGGTGGAAAATAAAGAAACCAATTTGAAATGTGATTTAAAACAAAGAAATTGTATATACAAAATTTGGAAAAAGATTATTATTCTCAAGTGATTTATCTATGTACAAACAATATACAAATCTCCTGTCATTTGATGAGTCAATGCACAAAAACGAACTGAAAGTCTACAAGTCACAATTATTAACTAGATCAACGTTTTTGAAATTTAAGAATATTTTAAGTTGCAATGGGATTAAAATCGGTCTGAGAAAATGGGAATTTTCAATTGAAAACTTCTGCTCAAGTAATTTATTTACCCACATCATAATGAAGTTAATTAAAAAGCCACACATGTTGAATGCAATTCCGCACAAAAGGAAAGGAAGGAAAGAATAAAATAAGGAAAAGATTGCCCCAGCCGAAAGCGAAAGATACAAAGATACACGACAGACTGACCAAGCGATCTGCGACATTCAGAATTATTTTTTGGATAACTGAAGGAAGTTTCTCCTTAAACTTGGACTTTTATTGTGGATTTCGGTTTTCGGGAGCTGCTCTTTAATTGTCGAACGTGGGAATCTATTTAAATGAGTTGAATGTTGCAGAAAATGTGGCAAATGGAGCAGCAGCAGCAACAACAGCCACCACAGTTGACAATCTGTGTCTGGCGGATGCACTTCACACACACACACACACATTATTTGTGGCAGTTAATGGGCCTCGGCTGGCGCTTAACAATTAGCTGTGATGGCAATTTCTTGCAACTCTTTATGTTCTCTATATCAGGGAGCTCAGCTCGAGCTACAGCTTTAGCTGATGTTTGTTTTAATTAATTGCATACATGCCAAGATACTAAGATACTTTGTGGAGTTGCTGTTATATTTCGCAAAATTTATTTGTCATTGTCATGAGCGGTAGATAAATTATGTTAATTCCACCTCTTGACATGGGTGCTGAGATAGTTTTTCGCGTTGCAATTTGAAATTCAATGAATTCGAGGGAAATGCTGGCCAAGAATTATGTATTTTTAATATTTTCCAAGATCTTTTTCCACTGCCACTGCTGATTGATGATGCAGGATCCACGGGGGAAATCTGCACTTTTGGGCCACTAATAGCCATGACAAATGGCTAAATTAATAGGAGGTAAGAGTCTGTTGTCTGTTGTCTGTGGTCCATAGCGGATTCTTTTGGCCACACTAGAGCCATGCACCACTCATCATTAATATTATCAAGGCATTTTTATCAGCGCACATTTTTTGTGAGACCCCGACCGATCCGAACCGAACCGATCCGTGACTTTTGGGAGCTGGCAAAAGGTTAGAAGGCACTTTGGAGCGCTGGCTGATGATGAGTGCAAAACGTTGGCGTATCTTCTGCCTAATTTCACCCAAGAAATAGGAGGCTGCAACAGCTGTGTGGCAGAGAGTGTGGAATCAAACAAGTTGCCACCACAATGGGTTGAAGTTGAGCCAGACGCGGAGGCAGAAGCAGAGGCATTGGCAAGGAGCAGGCAGAAAGGCAGCGCAGGGCAGGGCAAGCGAACAGGAACAGGAACAGACAACACGCATAAGCTACAATTAATCTTGGGAGTACGGAGCGCTCTCTGTGTGGATGGAGGGATCGAGGGAGGGAGGGTGTCTTGGCATAAATTTCACATACTGAGCCGACAAGCTCTCTCGTGTGCCCGTGCCCTGAAACCTGGAAACTGGACAGCAAGACACACGGACAACAGAGACAGCCAGACAGATGGACAGCGCGACAGACGGACAAGTGAGCACATGGATACGGACACAGACAGTCGCAAAACGTGTTGGTGCGGAGGTACTACCCATATCTTTTTTCTTTTCTTTTCTAAAAAAGCAACAAAATGTATCTGCACCTTGAAGGACGAGACGAGACCCGGGCGCATTATGGGTTCGAGTTCACCTCCAAAGAAACCTCTTAGAAGCCCAGCAATGATATGAGCCCGAGCCCTGAGACATGTATGCGCTTTCTATGCGCTTTATTATGATATTTTTTCGCTGCTTAGTTTTATTTTCATTTTGTAGGAATAGGAATAGAGGCCTGCCTCTGAGTGGAGCTGAAGCTGAAGCTAAGGCTGAGGTTGTCTGGCGATTGCATAGAACAAAATAGATTGCTATCGTGGCAACATCATCAGAGCCAACAGGCAGAGAGCGCAAGAGATGCGGCAGATACCCATACCCATGCCCGTGCCCATGCCCATGCACTACATACCGCAGCGAGACTTGTGGCACAGTGAACGGGGTGGAGTGAAGTGGAGTGGAGTGTAGTGTAGTGTAGTGCAGTGGAGTGGAGGGGGAGAAAACACCTTCAGAATGCAACGAGGCGGTCACAGATTGTTCTTGTTCTTGTGGGTTGCGCATGCGTACAAAATGCTCGGTGATTAATAATAATAGCAGCGCCTACAAAAGCCACAAAACACCCCGCCACACACACCACAGTGGGTGCAATCGGAGAGGAGCACTACCACTGCTCTCCATCCGCTAACCGTGGCAAGCGGAACTATATCTAAAGTGTGTCTCTACCCACTGTATCTCCCTCTCTCTCTCTGTCTCTCTCTCGAGGCAATTCTTCTGCCCTGCTGCCAGAACATTTGAAGAGATACGATTATGACAAGTTCAACGTGAAGTTGCACTAAATGCCATAGCCGCAGTCACAGCCGCAGTACGAGTACGAGTATTTTTTTCCCCGCTGTCGCTCTCCCCTGGATGCAGTTCCCTCTGAGTACGAGTATCTCTATCTCTGTGAGAGAGACAATAAAAAGGTGGGCGCTTCATTTAGGAGCAGCCGCCGCCGCCGCCACCACCGCCGCACAATTTGCATGTTTGCACAACAATTGTGTTTGGCTTAGGACAAAGCATGGACCGTATTTTATTTAGATAATAATTTTTTATCTGACGATAAGCTGGAACGTTGAGACTCTGCCGGTTCAGTGCGTGCCGCGGGTCGCCCAAGGGGCCATCTCCCTATGCGAGTGCATATACTTTTGTATCTCAAGAGCCCCTCTTCTCTCTCTCTCGCTCTCCCTCGTTCTATCTAAGTGTAACGGTAACGGCTGACCAGAGATGCAAAAGTATCTGGGAGAGTGACTTGCTTGAGAGCTGGGAAATATTCCAATATATGTATTCTGACGTATCTTAAATGGTGAAAAATCCTAGCTGATAGTTCCCAGCTGACGACTCTAAGCCAAAGATACAAAAGTATCTTTCATGCCATAAACGTATCTGTTGGCTCGTAAATGTATCTCAACATGAGTTCGAGCCCGATCAACTCCAAGCAAGGCCCTGCTGGCTGCAGTTTGGCTCGTTTGGCCGCTTCCCAGGCAAAACAAAAACGAAAAAGATACATTCCAGCTGTGCTCCCGCCAAAAGATTTGCATGCCATTGAAGATACACTCGCACACACACACACACCCCACATCCATCGGACTGCAGAGAAGATCTGCCTCCCCCTAGTGGATATTTTTTTACTGCCAACTCATCAAACTGCCATAATTCACCGAAAACTGTCAAAAATCAGCGGCTGGCAGGCACGCTTTTGTGTTACCTTTCTATTACGAAAAACTGCCGATGCCAATTTCTGTTTGGTCATCATCAACCGAAAGATACTCCTTGTACTCCGAACTCCGTACACCGTACACCGTACTCGGTACAAGTCGAAATCAATTGACCCCCACACAATGGATTAAGATACATCCGCAGATGAGGATGAGCATGATGATGATGATGATGATGATGATGATGATGATGATAATGATGATGAGTACTCACCTTCACAGGTAAATTGTCCGTAGTGCTTGCCGGAGCTCTTGTCGCCGCAGACAACGCACTCGATGTTCTGCTTGGAGTCGATCTGGGAGCCACTGTTGCTGCTCTGCGAGTGTGAGCTGTTGGCCTGGGAACTGGGAGTGGTGCTGCCACCGCCGCCGCCGCCACCACTGCCGCCATTTCCTCCCCCACAACTGACGGGCTGGCCCTTGATGATGGGCAGCATATCGGGGCCATGGCCCGACTGCACGCCACTGGAATGATGGCCCGACGAGGAGCCTCCGTTGGCGCTGGGCAGGCTGGAGAGATCCTCCTTGATGCCGTGATGGGAGCTTTGGTTGTGGTTCGCCGTGGATGCGGACAGGCCGGACAGATCCTGCTTGATCACCGCCGACTGTTGGCTGGCCACGCTGCTTGGTGTGGTGCCACCGCCGCCGGTGCTGGTGCCGGTGGTGCCAGCCAGCGAACCGCCCGGACCCGCCGATGTGGCATGCAGGTGGCTGCCCAGATTGGGGTCATGCCAAGCCGTATGTGGCGGCACGCCCAGCCCCATCGAGCGGGACAGTCCCAGATCGAAGGCCGAGAGCTCGGCGCCGGACTGGGGCCGCGGATTGAAGAAACCGGGAGCCGTGGACGGGGAGGCGCACATGACGCCGCCACCGTACACGCTCAGGGAATTGTGCGTAATAATTTTGGCGGCCGGATCGGAACACGTGGGATAATTGCTGGAATACACTTTGCACGCACTCTCTCTCCCGACGATCGATTCGTATTGAAATCTCTCTCTTCGGATTGATCTTTTCTTTGAATTTTCCCCGGGGGTGGAAAACTATCCGCAGCTCGTTTTAAATACAAATAATTTTATTTTGTGAATTTATTTCAGATTTCTGTGATTATATTCTTGGAACATTTTTCACGGTTCACTCATTGGACACTTGGTTGTTGGTTGTTGGTTTTTCCTATAATTATTATTGTGATTCTCGTTTGGAATTTGTAGATTTTTTTCTCTCGCTGTGGCACACACACGAAGCAATACGAATTTCGAAAAGTGCTGAACTTTAAAGATTCATCTCTCAAGTACTTTTTCCACTAGTATATTTCAGTATCTTCGACAGAAGTGCGCGTCATGCGGAGCAGCTAAATCTCAGTCAGCCTAGCCTGACTGGCAAAACATTTGTGGCAAAAGGTACACGACCCGACCCGACTCGACTCGACCGTTTCGACCTAACGACACATCACACAAATCTCTCTCATTCCACACACCACCACACAGATACAGATACAGATACCATACCGCGCACTATTGCCGCTCTTGTTGCACTCTCGCCATTCGAATGGCACGGCGCCAGTTGAGTGGAAATCTCCGCTCTCGGTCGCACTCGCAGTGTGTGCTCCGGTCTGCTCTCTGGTGGCGGGGCAAGACCTTCAACGCGTTTGGCTGATTTGCCACCACCACTACCACCAGCACACCAATGCTCTCCACACTACCACCACCACTGCATCTGCACCACCACCACCTATGGCACTATGGTCTGGTATGGTCTGGTCTGGTATGGTATGAGGGGCTGCTCTCTTTCGTCTTTCGTTGAGTGCAAAACGCTCAGAGCACACAGCGGAGCACACATCGGGTTCGGTTCCAACAAGAAAGAACTCGTTTGCCTCCTGGTTCTGTATCTGTATCTGTATTCTCTGCTGTAATTCTGCTTCTGCTTGCTCTCTGCTTATTAGTCTGCTGCTGTTGTTGTTGCTGCTGGACGCATCTGTTAGATACTCGTACTTTACCGTTAAGTTAAGGTTCTTTATCTGCTGCTCCTCTGTGTGTTTCTTGTTTTGCCATACCTCGAACTTTTTTGTTAACTTTAAAATGAGACGCAGTCTCCTCCCCGAATCGTCCGAGAAGTTCTTTCCTCTCTGGTTGGTTGGCTTTAAGTGCGTTCTACATTTTTCACAGATTTTGGTAGGTGCTTTAAGTGGACTTTCTTATCTGTTTAGAAGAGTTTTGCATGGGCATAATGGCCGATATGTTTGCCTTAAAGGTACATTTCTATTGGTTGCTAAGCGAAAGGAAACCGAGATAAGTTTCGGGTGCAGAGATAGTAGGATTATGAATGATGGATGATGGATGATAGGATGTGGATGGGTTTGTGTAAACACAAGAGGAGGGTTTCAACTGGAGGTGATCCTTGAAGCACAGATCTACCGAGGGCAGAGACTACAATCTCTTGCACGTGTTCTCCAGTTGGAATTATTCCCAGATTTTATGGCTTTAATTTATGGCAAGCTTGAAATATAGACTGTCGATACCTTTATTGTGTGATCTCTGAATATTTCAATGAATATTTTAAGCAATTTAATGTGACTTACCCTCCATTGAAAGATAAATCTCATTCGCTTTATTGATAGTATAAAAATTAGTCGGATATTAAGAGCTGCAATATAACTAATGCACGTTAACTTTTTATTGGAATACCAGAGATATAAACTCTGTTCAATTAATTACTATAAAAATGTACAATGTTCGTCTGCTGCCGTGGAATACTTTTGAGAAACCCCCCGAGATCTTTATGACATATTTGAAATGCTAATTTTGCATGCAGAATATGCATGCAAGTTCAATTTACTTAGCTTTGGATGACTTTCAGTTAAATGGGTATTATAAGGATATATAAATTGTGTTTATGGACAGTAACAATTGCGCGCTTTCCACTGTTTAGATAACATAATTTAGTGGTGCCCTCAATCCACCTTTAACTACTTGGAACCAACAACAGAAATCGCATTATTAACGCTCAATGTACCTCTGGAGTGACCCCGAATAGAACTCTACGACTGAAGCCCATTGACTGTCGTAATATAATTATAATGTTTCTTGGCTAATTGGATCAGGCCCCCCCCCCCCACTCCAGTCTCCTTGTTTGGGTGGTGGTAACGTGTCTGGGGGAAGTGCCAAAACTTGAAATCATAACTACGTGTGGGTATAATTGAATTCTATTTTAACGAGGACACCTCTGCGGTAACCTGATATGTCCATTTGTTGAATATTATTTCCTGCCCACACGTCATCGTTTCGTTTGCAGCAGCAGAACAGATTTCACATTCAGAAGAAGGAGGAAAAAAATACTCGACTCGTACGGCGTCGGATTGGATTCAGCATTCAATTGATATTAGCATTTTATGGGCAGCTATTTGCACGCAATGAATGCAAGAAGGAGTGAAAATTGCCAAGGGAAAAGTGCAGTAGAAATCGCCGTCAGCCACGCAACCGCGTCGACACTTCATTTTTCACAAGAAAGAGATGCAGAGATACTGGGAGACCGGGAAATGTGTTGGCTAGCTATTGGAAAAGTGTCGCAGGCGGCAAAAGTTTTGCAAAAAAGTTGCAGTGGCAGTCCAAAGGGCCAAATTGTGGCCACAGCACTTTGCACTCCTCGGAACCTCAGAGAACCATCCACAGAGCCGAGCCCCCTCTCCCCCTCCCACACCCAGAGCAGAGCCCCATCCACAGAAGCCTTCTCCTCACACCCCAACAGCAGCCCCATCCACAGAAGATACCCCATCCCCCATCCAGGGAAAGGGCGTAACGAGCGACCGCTGGCGCCCTCTGGTGTCTGGAGGGTAGGAAGGCCAGAGCACAGTGCAAACGTTCAATTGGATGATGAACGATATGCGGTGGTCGTGGTCGTGGTCCCAGAGTCGGTACGAGTACGAGCCTCCCTGCTTGGCTTGGGGTGGCGACTTCTCTGCTCCCGAAGAGAGACTCACTTCCAATTGGATTCCACTCAAAAGTCTCAGAGTTTCGTTCAGTTTTGAGCTCTCTCTCTCTCTCTGTCTCACTCTCTCACTCATACAGGCGCACTTTCACTCCAAGTGGAATCTGGCAACGCCTCTACTCAGCTCTGTTGCCTTCTCGCTCTGTCTTTGTGGCTGCATCCCTCTCTAACATTCAGCGGCTCTGCCTGTCGCTATCGCGTGGCTGTTTTTCCTGCCTTATCATTAACTGTATCGGAATTTGTGCTGTTTTCTTATAAAAATAAACAAAAAATGGTTAGAAAAAATTGTATTTGCTTTTTATTAACACCGCTAGATGTCTCTAGATGTCTCCCTCTGGCACCCACTGAGAGTCTAACTCAATTGGATGGATGTCCCGCTCCCGTACGCGCAATTTCCATGAGCTATATGTGGGGGGGGGGTCTTTGCTCCTCTCTGTGCGAGACATCCTGCAGGCGTCTGCTCCTCCGCTGCCTGTGAACCTAATCTCGTGGTTCTCGGCACCTCTTGTTAGTGCCTCGTATGTTACTCAGATCCTCTCTCTGTCCCACCAGCAGTGCCACCCACCCATTACATTGTTGTGTGCGGCGGCGGCCAGAGACCAGAGACTGCTCGGAGTTCGCGCAGTCGGGCGGCACCTCCAACCCCTGTGGGTTAAATACTGACAACCCCATTTGAGCGCCTTTTTGCACTCGCTGCCACTGCCACTGCCACAGCCTCTGCCACACGGCCGCCTCACCTCCTTTACACCATTCTCCGCCGCCTCCGCCTCTTCTCCTGTTCTTCTCCTGCTCCCCTGCGCTGCTCTCCACATAATGTTGGCCATTTTTTTGTTAGCCCTGTTCGGCTGATGCTGCTGCTTTGGACAGTTCATTGAAAGTAGTTGGTCCGAAGGGGAATATGCTTTGGAGGGATATATTGGGAATCAGTAAAAGTTTTAGATGGTTCTGGGGTCTCAGGGTCTGTAGGGTCTTGTGAATATTTCAATAAAAATTCGGAATTTATAATTTCGATCAATTTAATAATTTTAAATTCAAGTCTAATTTTTAGATTCTATTAAACATTTATTATTCATAAATAAATTGAATTAAAATCAAGCTTTGTGGGGAATTATCTCTACGTACTTTCTCCACTTGGAATATTGCATGTGTTTCCATTCGCCTGTTTGGCATTCATTCTCGAACATGCCATACACTAAACTGTTTTTTCAGTTGTCTGAAATATTAAAACTCGCAGCACGCCGCCTGTGGATGCATACAAATGCATAATATACTAGATTCCAAGGACTTTTTCATGCTCCACAGCATATGCACATATGTATGTACATACATATGTATATGCAGATATGAAATATATATAAACGAAATGTATCTGTGGGCTGCTCCTATTGCCAGACAAAGGGAAAGCCACTCTCCCACCATTGGACCCCCGATCCCCTCTAAAATGGCAAAACCAACTGGCATATAATTTACATTGTGGCTTGTTTCCTGCTCTCTCGCCAACAAAACTTTTACATTGATACATTTTTAGCAATTCTTCTTCTTGGGCGGGGGGCGGTGGGGGTTTTTGCGCCTTTTGTTTTGCCGTGGCCGGGCGGGCGGCTGGCAAGGACTTTATGAATAAGTGCTAAAATGCCAGAGACCAGGACCGCAATGGACCGGGCCATGTCATGCTGGTTAAACTGACGAACACGCGACCGGCTGCTCCTCCAACCTCTTTCACTCTCTCTCTCTCTCTTTGGTCTTATGGAGGTCCTCCAACCTCTCGCTGCTTGTCCCCCCAACCACTGTCTCTCTCTCTCTTCCACTGGTTGCAGGGAAAAAGTTGGCTCTTCTGTGCTGTTGTTTTTAGCCCGATGATTCATTGTGAAAATGGAGCTGGAGCTCTGGCCGTGGCTGCTGCTGGAAAATGGCATGGAAAATGTATCCCAGTGCACGAGATACTCGTGCCACAACAGGAGCCACAAAAAGTTCTCGTAGTTAACAACTTTGTCAACCCAATATGCTTGATGAGACGGACGGCTCTGTCCTCTTTGATGGATTCATTGGGAAGACGAAAAAGTGATTCATTTGGTGTTTCACAAGGCTTTAACTTTGCCTTTTTTAATTTCACATGTTCTGTAAGGGACTTAAAGAATTTTGATAACAGATTTTCGAAGAGTTCTTGGGAATCAGAATGAGTAAATAAAATGAGAGAACTCTTTGCTTCTTAGTGATTTATATTTATTCTTATTTAAATATCTTAAAGGCTCCGCTTTACTTTACCTCTTGAAACTCTATCTATATCTAAATATATCATTCAATAAATGTGTACATACATATATGTATGTATGTATGTATATATCTTTCCCTCGAAGCAATTATATGTGCTGGCAATTATTGTGTCTGGTGTTTGTCCATTTTGGAATTGCATTGAAGCCAAACGATTTCCAGGGAATATGCTCCTTGACATGCAAGCCCCCAAAAACAGTTAGGGGTTCGTTTCGGCCGTATAATGCACCAGGTCTATATATCACTAAATATATAGCGAATTGGATTGGAAGGGAGCGAAGCGGAGTGGAAAAGGGGCGCCATGTGTTTGTGTGCTCCACTCGAAATGTATTTCGAGAGCGCATGTCAAAAGGTCACCCACTGCTCACATGTATCTGCCCCTGTCATTTGTATGTGTGTGTCTCTGTATCTGTATGTGTGTGCATGTGTGTGTAATTACATGCGAGCCTCCCCCTTTTAATTTTTTAGTATAAGCGACTACGAACGAAACCCCTCCAGCCAATACGCCCAGCTTTATTTATGTGTCTGGTCTCTCGGATGGGTTCCATGAATTAAACATTCGCCATAAAAGCCGGCCGAAGAGCCTTTACTTTGGGGATTGAAACAGAACCGAACCGAAACATGTCACAAATCATTAGCACATATTCAAATCAAGCGCTGGAGGTCTTCCACGTCGCAGGGAACGCAAGGGGGAAGGGGGGGCGTCACATGAATGCAAAAAGATTAATGCAAAATATTGAAATGGAATATATATTTTTGACCTAAAAAACTTTGCCTAATTGCGTGCGACAGCGAAAGGTCAGAGGCGGCAGCGTTAACAATCACTGAAAGATCACTGGGGACTGCATCTGGATGAGATTCTGAGATGCTTGAGGATGGGACTCTGCTGCTGCTGCTGATGCTGATGCTGTGCGTTGGCTGCGTGTCCAGGTAGCAGTTTGAACTCGAGTTCGAGTGTCCGGCAGACATTGACCCTCTCGCCGTAACCTTTATGTTTGCAGTTCCTTCTTCTAGGGGTTCTTTCTCCAGGGACAAGATCGGATCGCAGCAACCCCCTTGGCAGATATATTCCTCTGGTCTATGGACATTGTCCAGTCCGTATGAAATTTTCTGCTTGATTTTCATGAAATTTTACACAATTTTATGGCCAGCGCCAAAAAGGGTTCCGCTTGTCCACCCCGATTACCTGGACACGGGGAGATGTGTACCGTTTTGGGGTGGATTTTGGGTCGATTTTGTACGCATTTCCATTACCATTTCCATCTCGAACGATTTGCGTACTTTTGCATACCGAAAGGCCCGAAGACGTTCGAAGATTTACAGTCAGTTCTGGCTGGAGCGTGGGAAACACTGGGCCACTGGTCAGCGCTATCTTCCTCCGGGTGTCCTTTGGCAGGACTTCTTCGGGCTGCTCTTTAATCCGATTTTGATGAAGCGCAACGCTTTGCGGTCATGATCGCATTTCCCCCCATGTCCCGTGTGCTGGTCATCAGAAAGAAAAACGCAATTTAGGCTTAGTTTCGAGAAGAACAATGGAGAAATATGTGTTTTCTATAAGCCGAAATGGTTGGGAAAATAGAATACAAGTGAAAGAGATAAAAAGGTTTTTAAATTATGGAAAAGTAGGACAGATAGCTGTAAATATATCCCAATAAAATGAACAGTATTCTCCATAAAGGTGTGAACATTAAGGATGATTCAGAATAAAAAGTTGAATAAAGAAAATGTAAAAATGTGAGAAATACAAAAAAAAAATATTAAAATGGCATTTGTTTTCCGTAAAACAGAACCAAGCTTACAACTTGCCAAATCACCCTGCAAATAATTCTTAGCCATGCACTTTAAATGCTCAGACAGGAAGCAAATCAACTTTCAACTCCTTCGCTTAATCCTCTGAATATCTCTGCATCTCACAGTCACTCCAAACTCCAGCTAATAAACTGCCCTAAGCCACGATGCGGGTCTGCGTAAAGTCATCTGCTCATGCAGAGCCCATCAATGTGATAATTGAGCAGTCAAAATCAAACCCAAGCCCATGCCAAAAAAGCGGAGAAGGCGAAAAGCAGGAGACTCTCCTCCACTCCATGAAAGCCCTCACAACAATTGCAACTCATTTCACTCGGTGAGGCCAGGTTAAGGTTTTGATGAATGATCTCATCAGCGAGGTGTCGGGCAGAGCCACAAAGATTGCTCTCCAGGCCCCCAGCGCCCCGCTACAACGCCACAGCGAACCCGATACACGTAGCAGCTCCCACAGTAACCTCCGACGAAATGAGCATCAAATGATGTTTGTGGCAAAGTGTAAAATTTAAAATTTAATAATTAACAATTGTTTTTTAATTTCTCAGCGGCAAATCTCCGGCAGATCGAAGCGGGCATCGGACATGGGGCTGCCTAAATTACTTTCCCCCTTTTTTGGTAGCTGTCAATCGGATCGGATGGTATTGGATCGGTAGATGCCCGAGATCTCTTTGTTAAGGCCATGATTAATGATGCAAAATTATGAACTCGCTTGTTCTCAGTGCCTCAGGGGCAGAGCCAGAGGCGGACTGACACTCGGTTGTAAGTAGTTTTGTAAATCGGTTAAAGAAAAATGACTTCATTAAATTCATTAGCGCCCATGTGTGAAATTCGTTCAATTGGTTTTCGATGGATGGTTTCCTTTGTGCCCCCAGAATGGGGTCTCGTATTCCCTAACCATTTCACGGCTTCCCTAGTGATCCCAGCATTTGATGTAAAGCGAAGTCGAGCCCCTATTCTGATCCCTCCATTTAATGCAAAGCGAAGTCGAGCCCCGCGATCCACAGTAATGACACCTTCCATGTATCGCTTACCACAAAACCGAAATCAGCTCCCAGCTATTTGTTCAGCCTGGGAAAATCAACGAGTGGCAGAGAACACAGCCCCAATTGCCCCAACGGCGCAACATAGATAATCAAACTGAGTTGTAGTCAAATGTGCCACATAGATGGATGGATTCGCCTGGTCCATTGGTCCGTCTCAGTTCGGGCTTCATGTGTGCCTCAGTCTGCGAGCTCAACTCTGGACCATAAGTCATCGGCATTGATAGCCATCAATCGCGAACCGCGAACCGCTTTCCACGGACCCATGAACGTTGCTGGCATGACCACAAAGCTGCCCAAAGTGGCGCGAAATCTAAGTACAATTAGTCGGGGGCTGAAGCTGGAGCTGTATGTAGTTATGGTGGAGAGGCAGGAGATGGAATGGTATGGATGCAGCTGGATCTGAGGTTGTGGCAGAGACTGAAGCTGTAGCAGAGTCTGAGGCAAAGGCTGGCTATGTGGCAGAGTCTAAACCTTCGACAGCGACTGAATCTCAAGACTGCTGTGGCTATGGAAATCTGTGTGCTGTGTGCTGTGTCTGTGTCTCGGTTCGTTACCGACTATTACTCCAACGCATTTTCCAAACTTGGCAATTTTTCTTAGAGACGGCGGCTTCCCTGGCAACCGCACAGACATCTCCTCTCTCCATCCTCTCCAGCCTTCCCGCAACTCCTCCCAACTTTTGTGGTCAGTCACTTTGTCAGTGTTGCCAAAGCCAAAAGAGCCAAAGTCTGTGGCTGTGTCTGTCTCTCTGTGTGTCTGTCTGTCTTCGGCTTGGCCTGTTCGCTGGCTCTCGTTGAACCTTTTTAACCGTTGCTTGGTCAAGAGTTGTTAACCATATTAAAGTGTTCAATGATTAATTACACGCGTCCAAGATTAATTGAAATCAATCAAAGCTGAAGTTAACTAATGGCAACACGTTTGTAATCGCCCCAAAACCCATTCCCATTCTCATTCCCATTCCCATTCTCATCTGTTGGATCTCTGTGCCTGTGTATCTGGTATTTCTCTGGAGTGCAACGAGTAGGAGTACTCGTGGTGATGCTCTCGGGATTCACAGTAATTTTATTGGCCACATTATGGTTACATTTTGGTTATTCGATGTTTCCCATCTTCCACTGTTCCCATGCTTAATTACAATTAGAGATTTTTGTGGGCCACAAGCATTAGATGATGTATGTCTGGGTAGGCTGTAGCTTTATCCACAGGAAAAAGTCAGAGTTCAAGGCTAAGAGGGGGAACAAGTTTGTTCGTGGAATATTCCACGTTCTTCGAATTATACTCTCTAACCAATAAAGGTGACCAGATTCTGCAGCTAAATATTACATGAATTCTTTCCCGAAAAGAACCCTTCCCCAATCTCAATCCCAGTCCTAATTAAAATTTAAAATTTCCTTTTTTTTAATTATCTTGTGAGGCGACTGGAAGTTTTATCAATTGGCTGACAGTTCGCCAAGTTATGGATTATGCCCCAGAGGCACGGGGGCCCACAGCCCACAGCTCACAGCTCGCTTACAGAGTGGCATACACCACACGTGGCACACAAGAGAGCGTTGAAAGTAACTTTAAACGGCTTGGCTTTTGTGTGGCATGTGGAACGGAAGCAGTCAAAGGACATGCTAAACCGCATCCCCGTTATCCACACACACACACACACACACACATACACATGTGGTTAATTATAATTACGCAATTTTAATATCAAAACATGCTACCCACAGAAGGGAGGAGTGGGGTGTGAGAGGAGGATATGCCGTGCCAGAGGTTAGAGAGGAAGCATGTCCAAGAGTCCTGAGTCCTGGTCGGTCTCCTGTGCCCTGTGCCAAAGGAGGGTTGCAAGCGAGCGTTGAAAAGGCGAAGAATGATGAATGAAATGCGATGAGCCACCCCCCAAACGACAGACAGGTTGAGGTTGAGGCCTTCTCACACCTACAGGCCCACTCGTGCTCCGGCTTCCCCCTCGCACGCACACTTTGAGCTTTGATTGAGCATATCCGGTGGGGGAGAGGGGATTATACACTCATAGCATAGCGAGGGGAGGATGGTCCCGGAGCCAGTTCTTGCCGTTCAGCCAACCGAGAATTATTAGCTTTTATGATATTGATAGAAGCCGATGTCTATTGACAATTAAACAATGACTGGCACCCCACCCCACCCCACCACACAGAACCAGCCACAGACCTTAAGCGAGGGCGTCCCAATGTGTTCCTGGGGGTAACTTATTTTGGGCGTTTTGTTTGCCTCGAACCAGAAAACAGAAACAGAAAACAGAACCCCGAAACCATAAACACGTAAGCCCATCTACCGATAAACATCTACGGGTATTGGTGGCTAATTTGCTGGGCTATTCACGTTGATTAGCGGGGATTAATACATCATTGAGGTGATCTAATAAAATTCGCTGGCAACTTAAACACAGATGCCACAAATTTGATAGGCAAGGATGTGGCTGCGACCACGGATAATTGTGTACTTGATTAATGATATGTGCTTAAGCTTAGACTCGTGGAGAAAGAAAAAAACCACCAAAAAATTGTCCATCTTTGTGGATCTTTGTGTCATCAGTGCGAGTGACAACATTTAAATATTTATTTTCCTTAGCACAGACAGCAGTTGCAGCAAAGCGACAGACAGAACAAAGGCACAGAGACAGAGATTGGCCCATGGGTTCAGTTCAGCTAATAAAAAATTTAAATGATAATTATGACAATCGTACGTGATGATTGCTGCAAAACTGTTAAGCCAAAAGCACTCCCACACACATCCAGGGGACGGAAACAAACAAAGATCGTGACAGCTCGGGGAACATAAGCCAACAGCCTCCCCCCTCCCATTCTCCCTGGAGAGCCCAAAATTAGTACGTATGTATATCTAAGGAAGCTGCGACCTGGAGCATACATTAATAAATAAATGGAGATTTTCTGTTATTTATTTTTAAAATATTCCCCCGGCAGCATTCTCAGCGCAGCGCCCTCGCCCCCTCACGTACGCAGTTTTGGGTCACACACATTCCCATAGACGAGGTCAAGTTTCGAAATAATTTTGGGGGCTCCCTGCCAACTCTAGAAACAACACACATGGATTTTGTCACACTTTTCGTTTTCGTTTATTGGTAGTCAAAGTAATTTAGCCATAGAATCCACCGCCAAAGGGGCCTCCAAAGCCGCCGCCATAGCCGCCATAGGGACGTCCATATCCACCTCCGTAGCGACCATATCCACCATAGTTGCCAAAGCCGCCACCATATCCTCCATATCCACGGCGACCGTATCCACCGCCATAGAAGGGACTTCCATAGCCACCGCCATAGAACTGACGCTTAGCACGAACTTGTCCCTCGACGGGCTGCTCGATGCCCTGCTCCACAGGCGACAGAGACAGATCCTGATCGTTGGAGGACTCCTCCAGGCCCCAGGCCATAGACAGACACGCCAGACAGGCGATCAAGCCAAACAATATCACGCAACGCATTTTCGCACTTTTGATTTCGAAACTTCCTCTATCGATGAAGATTCCGTCTTAACTGATATTTAGCCGGCACTTGAAACGGCTTTTATATGCTCGACTCGAAGCTACTCGAGCGGAGTCGAACATTCGTTCTAGCACTTATCGTCTCGATATTAATGGAATTCAATACAGAACACAATCAACACAAAATGCGACGTCCACAGGGAAACCAGTTCTGCTCGTAGAATGATGACTAAATATAAGCAACCGCAAAGAATCCCCCACGCCGGCTATTGTGCGGCTCCAAATCTCCCAAAAAAACATTCAATGACGAAACAAACAATGAACCCGCAAAACAGGTTCCAGAGATCTCGTGCGATCTAGAGTCTGGCATTAGTTAATGCAAATTTGATTATATTTTTTTTGGGGAGATATTTGCTTAGAATAAATTACGCATTGCTTGAGGGGATTTCGAAATGCGATTTCGGTTTCTTTTATTTAGGAGATCAATTTATAAAGGCTGACTAATTTGCATTTGTGGGGGAAAGGCTCTATTTTAATGGTAAGTTATTGGCACAACTCTTTCGTTATACTCCACATAGTGGTTCTCGTTTCGAGGGCCAGGTGAGAATAGAAATGATTGGCTTTGTCAGGCCCATTCAGCATTTTACTTTTTGTAAACAAAATTCGGTTTATTGGGCAAAACCACAAAACACCAGGCGACGCGGAAGCTGAAAAAGAGGCGTGTAGTCGCAAAGGTCTGATCTCTCTGTTAAATAGGTAACATAAAAACAAATTTGTGTGTGTTTTTTATTGTCTGGAAATACCCCAAAACGACGATCACAAGCACAGGCACAGGCACAAGCACATGGTCAATGATCGATGAGCGATGCTCAAAATCAAGCATATAAAATTACCAAGGCATAAAGCTTGTCTGTCTCTTTGATTTGCTTTGATCTGTTTTGCTCTGACTACATATACTCGTACGTATGCTCATACGTCTTGGAGTTTTCAGGCCAATCGATCCAAGCCCATAAATCACAATGTTCTGTGTTCTCAGTGGCAAAAGGGAAGGGAAGCCCCCTTCGATCAGGTCCGCCTCTCAGCTCCATTTGCACATGTGCTTCGCAGACCCAGACCCAGACCCAGATACTGAAACAGATCCACATCCAGACATTGTCATCGCATTTGCTCTTTAAGGGTTCCGTAAATCACGCTTCTTGTCTAATTTTGTCTCGCTTGAGATTCCTGACATAGTTGCCAACTCAATGGAATTATTTCTTCATGTCAAGTGCTTCCAGATCCCCAGCCACAAAGCTCCGAAAACAAAAACAAAAACAAAACAAAAACGACACAGAGAGAAGACAGAATCTGCACATGATCGCGCATCTTCGATCGTTGTGGCAGCTGCAACATTTGCAACTGTATCTGCAACTGCAGATCTGCATCTCCGTCTGTGTCTGTATCTGTATCTGGGATGTGTCTGCTCTGTCTGTCTGCCCCACTGGGGATCCACAGTCCTCAATCCCCCATCGAGCGTAACACATTTACAGACCTCATTGAGTTGTCTCTGCCACTTACAGCAGAGCCTTTCGAGAGTTGTCTGGGCGCAGTCAAAGTGTTGTCAATTTGCATGACAAACTTGTTGTTCACTTGCCCCAAAACTATCTCTGTAGGAAGTATCTTTTACACTTGGTTACAGCAAAGCCAAAAGCATTCCCTAAGCCGCTGAAACTCCATAATTAATTTACATATAATTGCAGCAATCACAAATCAACATCAAATGACATTACGTTGTCGCCATTTACCCGACTCGATGACGAGCTGTAAATTGGTGATTATTGTTTGCTCTGTTGGGGAGGGGAGGCATGGGCAATGCCATACCCAATCCCTATACACATACATATATAGACCACAAGCGCCACCTGACACGCCCCCGTCATACGGAACGTAATTGTGTGTTTGCACACATCAGGGGACAGGGCCATGAACAGGGCCACGAGACAGAACAGAACAGAACCGAACCGAACCAAAGAGCCATTATCCATTAGGTTGACAGGTGGGAATGGACTCTGGAAACAGAGACCATTTGGCGTGTCATCGGAACAATGGCCAAGGCAATCAGCACGCAATGGAGTTCCTTCTAATTTGGGGAATGTCACCGATTCTGACTGACATCCAAAATATGATTTAACTAACTTTTATGACACCAATTATTGTGCTGCGACGTTCGGACAGGTGATGTCAAAGCAAACCAAATAAATCAAGTTGTAGTTTTAGTTTTAGTGAATCATATTGTGTGGGATTTGTTCAGGCCTCCAACGGAAGTATTTATCATCCATAGGTGAGACTTCCTCTAGATATATGTATGCACTATGTACATTCCCCCCATCCATCGAAATTTAAATTTACTTTTACCCAAAAGAAAAAGATTTATGAATATTCAAGCAAGGAAAAACATTGAAAAATTTGCACATTTCGATACGCAAATAAACATTTGAATTTTCTCCTTCTACCCTCTTTCCTTTCGTTTTTCTTTTGTTTCCGTAAGTTTAATTTGGAATTTTTCTGCCCGGATTATGGGGTAGATTTTCGCACTCGCATTTGTTCGCTCCGCTCCAGTTCTGTGCACAAAAGATATCTGTCCCGTGATCGAATCGAGATCGTGACGTGGGTCTCGTCTCACAAGCAGCTGGATGTCTCTTCGTGTGTGCCGTGTGCCTTTGGTGGTTGCATTCAAAGATTCTTTTCTTTTGGGTGCTGCTGATTCTGGGTGAAAATTTACCCAAAGATTTCCCCCGCTCTTTTCCCCCGTTGTGTGCATGTGAATACTTGATGATCGGTTTTGCTGTATGCAAAACATGTTTGCAAATTTTTTAAGTGTTATTTTTTTCTACCCTCCATAGGGGTTTTGCTCTATTTTTTATTGTTCTTGGTCATAATAAGGCGGAACGTGTTGTAAGACTGTTTTTTCAGGGGAAAACTGATGGTCTCGGAAGCTGGGATGAAACTGGGATGACCTTAATTAGTGGATGTTGACCTCTTTGGGTGTTGTTTTTTTAAGGGGAAAACTTCTGGCACACAAGAAGATTCTGGAGAAGGGAAATTTGTAATGCAATAAATGTATAAGTGTAAGCAAATATCAAAGAATCATGCAAAATATATGCCAGAAAGTGGCCCAAACGATCCCAGGCAGAAACGCTGCCCAGACTGAGGTGCTCTACCGCATGTCGCTGATAGAACTAATAGGAATTGGGCTACCTAATTATCTAAGAATATGCAAATAAGATTAGATAAAACCATAAATAGGCAACAAATATTATTAATTAAAACTGTAAAAATATCTTAGGTGCTCATTTTAAGATCTAAGTTCAAAGACAGTGAATTATGGGTCTAATATTCCATTCTCCTTATTTTTCTTAGCAACGAAATACATTCCATTCCCCACTCCTTCCTCCAGGCAACACTGTCATTCCATTTTCCCGCCAGAAATGTACATAAATGCATTCTGTCAACCCAAAAATAAAACCCCCCACCCGATGAGGAAATTTCTTATTCAAATCCGAACTTCACGCCTAATCAGCGGACTGGACAATGAACAAATGCAAATGCTGCAAAAGGAAATCAGAGCATTATCGTAAGAAAAACTCGAGAAATTCTATGGAAAAACTTCCCTCAGTGCGACTGCCTGTCCCCTCTAGCCAAGCATTCCCCTCACGACACTGTCAACGTTGATCTTTTGACCTTTACGCATGAATTGCTTAAATTGCCAGACATGCAAAATAATGCATATGAGATTGCATATGCGTACTCCTATGTACGGCAGGCACTCTGTGGCGACCCTTTTTAGGGGTGGCAACGGCTTGAAAGGCGCGTCCAGCCGGGTGGCCCAAAGAAAAGGCAGAAGAAAAATTGCATAAAACTGACCGTTAATCTTTAGGAAGAGAAGGAAACTGGGAAAAAATAATTTTTAAATATATATTTCCATCAGTGAAAAGTTCGGGAATCTTTAATTCAGCTGTTGCAGTCGTAAATGTCATATAAATTGCATTTTTCCATCAAATGATCATTAAACTTGAGATATCAACTTTATGTAATTGGAAAAACCATTCGAATGAATTGCTTTCCCCCAGCGATCGAACTCAGGTGCCATGCCACGCACTTGAGCATTATCAAATTTATGAGCGCAAGGCCACATGAACCCTTTTAGGAGTTACGTTGGGGATAGGAGATTTCTTTTTGCTAGGGAGAGTGGAGGGTGGCATTGTCAGCACAAGTCTCAAGTGTCGATCACAACAGCCGAAACCAAGCGAAGATCTTTTCGGTATCCATCCTTTTTCCGCTTCCCCTGTGTTGACAGAATACTTTAGATGTGGATTGTGGGAGAGCGAGAGCACCCGATGGAGCACGCGCCAACTTCAAGCTGCAGGCCGGGCCATAACTTCTCCGGTTGTCAGGCGTTTAGCTACTTAAACACTTAAGACATCATGCGGGTCGGTCTCGTCTCGTCTCGTCTCCCTCTCTGTGTCGACTCCAGTCGAAGAACTCCCGACTGGTTCTCCAGATGATTTGGCTGCCTTAATTGCATTTCTTCGATTCCACACATGCCACTCAGTCAACTGCTTGGCGCTCCATTTCATTTTTGGTGGCATGCCTCTCATGTCCCCTATGCGAGGGTCCGGTCCCTCTGTGCGTGTGTTAATTTTGGTATTAGTAAATTTATTTGGTTTTTGGCAGAGATTTCGTCTTTGGGAAATTTATTAGCACATTAAGATAAAATGAAGTCGTTTATGCCTCCACGCTCCACTCGATCCACCACTCGGCGGGGCTGCCTCTCGACTGTTGCTGCCACGTCTTGACATTCAATTTTATGGCCTTTTTTGCCCATCCTCATCCTTGGTATTATCCCACTGTCCAACGCAGCGCTTCCAACTCCAGATCCAGCCTCAAATTCCAGCCCCATCCTCCACTTCCCGTCCATCTTCTTTGTAGGCATTTGAGGAATTCTGTAGTTTGGTTATTCTGTATTTTGAATAATGTCAGGCATCTTTATGGTAGATTTATTTCTGCTAAGCAGCTTCTTAGTTGGTG